AACTCTGTGGAATGCTAGGGTGCTTTGGCCTCGTTGCGCTCGTTTCCTATTCAATACATACCAAGGCTATGCAACCATTATGTTTAGAGGAAGCAATAAAATCATCCTTAGTCAAGAAGGAACCACTCAGGGAGACCCTTTAGGCATGCTAATGTATGCAATTGGCATATTACCTTTGGTAAAAAAACTAAAAAGCCTAAATTGGAAGCAAAACTGGTACGCTGATGATTCTGCATGTTTCGGTGAAATACTTAAAGTTAGAGAATGGTTTAACGCTTTACGTGTTGAAGGGCCAAAATGGGGGTATTATCCAGAACCCAAGAAAAGTGTATTGATAGTAAAACCTGAATATAAAGAAAAAGCAGAAGAAATTTTCAGAGACCTACAAGTGAAAATTGTAACATCGTACAGGTTTTTAGGGGGTATTATTGGTAGCTCAGAAGAAAAGAAGGAATTTGTGAAAGAAAAAGTAAAAAAAATGGGTTGATTGTATAAAGAAATTTGGCATAGCTGCACATAAAAGTCCTCAAGCAGCGTATACTGCCTTTACTAAGTCATTACAAAATGAATGGGCATTTCTCCAAAGAGTAACAGAGGGATTTAGTGAAGAATACGAAGATTTAAAAACTGCCATACATCGCCATTTCACTCCCAACCTTTTCGAACAAGAGATTTCTGAGCTTGAACATGACTTGTTCTCTCTCCCTACTCGTTTTGGAGGCTTAAATATTCAGGACCCGACAAAGAACGATGGTATTTCATTTGAAGCATCAAAACAATGCACAGAAAAATTAATATTAGCCATTAAAAATGGACAACCATTAAAGATTAATGATCATGTATCAACACTACAAGATGTAATAAAGAAGAGAAAACTAGAAAAAGACATGTTGGCTAAAGCAAATAATGAACGAATTATGGAATTACTTCCTGAAAGTCAAAAGAAGCCAATAATTAGAATTGTAGCAGGGAATACTAGCCAATGGTTAACTGTGACACCATGTGCATCTGATCATACGGATTTGTCCCCGGATCAATTCAGAGATGCTTTGTCAATTCGCTATGGCCGCACACTAAGAAATTTACCAGTACGATGTGATGGTTGTGATCAACCTATGAATCTAACACATGCATTAAATTGTAAAAAAGGAGGATTGATCAAACATGGGCATGATCAACATCGAGACCACTGTGCTGCGATAGCAAATATGGCCTGGAAAGGGGTTGAAGTCGAGCCTATTATGAGAGAAGCTGACCCTGCAAACAATGTGCCTGCTTTAAAAGCTGATTTTAAAGTTAATGGTATTTGGGAGGCTGAGAGAGTAGCGTTTTTTGATAATCGCATTGTTAATGCTGACGCTCCCTCTTACGCCAACCAAGAATGGGGAACAATATCTCGAAACCATGCCGTTCAGAAACACAATAAATATGACAAAGCAGCCGAAGACATCAGAGGAAGCTTCACACCATTAATATGTTCCACGGAAGGAGTCCCCCACAAAGAATATGAAGCGTTTCAGAGGAGAACAAGCGAAGCCCTGGCTGTAAAATGGAGAAAACCATACTCCCAAATTATCGGATGGTTGAGGATCCAAAGCCAGCTTTCCATCATTCGAGCAGTTTCGCTAAGGCTACGGGGAACTAGACGAAAAATTCGAAGCATTCAATTTGAAGATGGTGCCGCAATTCCCCCATTGCTCTATTGAGCTTTCATTTTATTTTTGTTAAACATTTATATTTGATTGAAAATCATAGTCATATGTTGAATTGTTTGAAATGTATAAATAAAGTTTTATTGTTTGATCAAATTTAAAAAAAAAAATAAAATAAAAATAAATTTAAAATAATTGCTATACATTGATTAATGATTTTAATTTTTTTAAAGGTAATTTTTTTTAACTATGATCTCATAAACATACAAAAATTTACTGAAGAATGCAAGTAAATTATAAGACTAGGCAAGTTATGATAAGTTAGAAGTCTTAAACAATAAACATGATAGAACATTGTACATAGAACTCTAAACAAAAAAATGAATTTGACATACTGTATTAGTCTTCAAAACCAATCTACAAAACAAGCTATTCTATTAAATACCGTAGATTTTATAGAATAAATGTTATAGATGCATATTTACCATGCAAGTTGTCTTTATTACAATTTTTCCCGTTTTATGGGTATAATAACTTATCTTTAAAACATGGTATAGTCTGTTCAGTACAAAATTTTTGTTATTAGAATAATCTGCAGTTAACACAAGTAGGGTAACAAAAATTATTAAGAAAAGAAATTTCAAGGAAAATAGCCAGTCAACAAATTACACCTTTGAATAACCTTATTTTCTAAGCTCTTTTTATAATTGAAACTCTAACTCCAAACAAGATAAACAAATTTGAAAAACTCCTCCCGAGGGAAATCAGCAATAAACTGTTGAACTTTTTGCACCTGCGACAGATATTTCTCGCATGTAGATTGTATGCGTTGAACCGGTTCGAGTTTTGTGGATACGTAACACTTAATGACTTAACAACACAGTATGATTTTTTAAATAACATACTAGATATTTAGTTAAACCCATCTATATATTAATACGCAAACAGATTTCTTTTCGGAGTCATAACTCAATAACGGCTGGACGGATTTTAACGTTTGAACTGTAAAATTATTGATATTGTCCAAATACTGTATATGTGCAAAAACGTCTCAGAATATTAAGGGCATGCCTTAGGTACAATTAAGGGCTAAAAATTCGATATGGTGGTGCTATCCGACATTGGAACAAACTCAATTCACTTTGCTTACAACTAAAAAAATGTGCATGGTTTGAAATAGTTCTTGAGGTTAATCACAGACTTCAGGACTTATTTTTCATATTACTTCAAGAGCAAAGCCGAAGAATTTATATTTTTATTTAAATATCTGTTTACTAAGTCTGGTTAATAAAATAAAGTATATCCTAGCCAGACTTGATGACAAATTGTTCGTAATTTATAGTTGAGTTGATTTTCCTTACATCGTATTTTACTGAATCCTCATGTAGTTTTGGTTACAGTACGGTATAATGAAGTGAATGTTTAAAAGAGCTTATTTGCAGTGCAGTTACCCGTAACCTTACCATGTTATCATGTAATTTACAACGTGTATCAACATTTCTTTGTAGTGTTTTTTTCTGTTGTCTGGTTAACCTTTGTGTTTTATTTTAAAATATGCACCGATTTATAAGTACGACGTTGACACTGGAACCCAATAGTGTATGAAACAAAATGCAGACAAAGAATGTAATAACTATCTAATGTGGGAAATAGGGTCACACATTGAAAACGCCAACCAATTTGTCCAATCTTTTAAGACTATGACAAAATTTGTGGGAACGAGAGCTCCGAGGAGTCAAAAGAGATGCTTAGGTGCCTCTTTGATAGAGGTCTAGCTGTTTATGTTTTTGTTCCTTATTCTTTTACCAAAAGCTGCAGTTTTGCTCGATTTTGAGCAACGGGTTATATCTAAAACAACTATGCAATAAGATAATGAAAATAGTTCTCACTTAACAGACAAATTACTAGTTGTAAAGTGTACTTTTTCATAGTGTTAGTTTTTATCTTTGTAAAAAATTATTTTTGGGATCTTTTCCAACACCCATTTATATATCATTTGTATTATATCCTATAAGATACAGCTTGAGTTTTAAGGTTGTTCTGGATGACTAAGATCAACTGGTTTCTCAGAACCACAGCTTTCAGAAAAGTCTTCGAGTTCACTGTATATAGGGTTTTCAACAGTTACATTTCTCTGCACCTGTAAAAGAGTCAGAGCAGTTTAGACACACTTTTTAAACTAAATACAATAATTAATATAAATTCATATTTTTATTTTTTAATTTAATTTTTAATTTTGGATACAATTTTGAACCATTATTATGTGAAAAAGCAAAGCAGTGACTTGTTATCAGTAACTAATCAATAGACCTAAGATATGACTAAATTATATATCAGCAAGTAGTTAAGTGAGAATCACTGTAACTCCTCACATTCGTAGAACTAAGACTGATTTCATAACTTTTTAAAAATATACATGGATAATTCAAAAAGAATTAAACAAATCTAAGGATTAATATTTTAGAAAAAGAAGCAATATTTTCTAATGCACATCTGTCACTGACCTCTCCAGTAGCTCTGTACATCGGGTTGTCAAAGGCCTGAGGAGGGGTGGGGGGAGATTGTCTCTGCTCATGTGCCACAACTACTTCCCCGGACTGGTTTTCAAACCTAGCAAAAACAAATGGCCGACCTCCTGCGGGCGAAAACTGCGACCACGACCTGAAAGTTTCTATAGTGTAAAACCACCATGTAAGTGATTAAATTGTAAAAAGGATTAACTTGAATTATTGTACTACTGGCACATAAGTTTTAATCTATGAGAACTGTCCACAAATCCACCAACTTTCGGACAAGAAGTGGATCTAATCTTGCAGCTCCAGAAATACAACCAACCAACCATCTACCCCAAGTAAGGTCCGTTTTTGCGTATAGCTTCCTTGTTTGCGAGTATATCACAATGAGGCTCCTTACTGTTTATCCATCACTGTAAATAGAATGGTGCCATTAGCAGCTCTGTAGCTGACGTGTTAACTTTGATAATTAAGTTTTTATAATTTTTTTTATCACCCATGCAAGATAAAGTCAGTGATACTTTCGACCAAAAGGAAGCATATCCAATGCCGACATTCATCGCCAGATGAGTGAAGGTTATGGCGCTAATGCAATGAGTGAGGGTAAAGTGCAGAAATGGGTAAGGGCGTTAAAAAATGCTTGTGAAAATGTTCATTTCGGAAGCAATTATGTTTTTCGTGGTTTACCCAGACTTCTCACACAAAGTAGAAGTTTATCACAGCCGTTACTAAAATATTACCCTTTACGTAAATAAGGGCTATTGTATATTTCTGATTACTAATTTTAAAAAAATACAAAAACTAAAATGTACTACATTTTGAGTTTTGTTGACAATTACCAGTTCTTGGAGTAAAACACGACAATCCCAGCGATTGTGATTGCAGCAAACACCATCAAGGAGAGGAAATGTACAGCTACCTGAGCAAAGGAAATAGGGTACCAGATGTGTCCTGACACGAATAACTTCTCTACTCTCCAACCCACGACATCTGGAAACAGATATGAACACAGTTAAAGCCTATTGGCTGGCTATCATCATGTATCTGAATCAAATAGAAACCATCTAGCACCATTAACAGACAGCTAAAAGACTTTCTTCTATTTTTTTCCGATCAATGTTTAGGCAATGTATTTCCCATTTCACAAAGTACTTTTAAAAGTTTTTCATTTGAGGTTTTCCCACATCTCCTTCCTACTGGGCTTTGATTGAATATCTTGAGTAAAATCCTGCAATCAGCTACTTATTTAAGATGTTTTCTTCAGGTCTCTTGGTATTATTGTATCTTCTTTTAGGCTGTATGTATTTAATTCTCTTCTTACTACTTTACGCCTTATTACACGTCGTCTTGAACATCTGTAGAGTGTTCTTTAAATCTAATTTTTTCTGCCTTATTCTTATGATGATAAATTTCTAAATGAGTTGGCTATGTTTAATATGTTGTTGAACTTATTTAAATTGTTGAGACAAAATCATTTACCGGTAGGCCTACTATTTAACATTCTATTGCGTGAAACATTATGACCACCTACTTTTCTCTATCAGCGTTTTCAGATCATCTGCAATAGCAGAGATTTCTCCACTATAATCTCCATTTTCTAATAGAACTATCTGTATCAAATCTCCAACTTTACTGGCATGCCAAGCTATGTCTTTGTTTTTCATAAAAAAACTGATAACTTTTGTAAGTGGTAGCTTCTTTTGGTCTTTACTCCTCATGAGAAAATATGCACCTGAAACAGAGAAAGGTATTCAAAATATGTTCACTTTAAGTTAAGTAAAACGATGGAATGAAAAGAGGTTGACAACATTCAAAATGTTTCAAAATGTTAGGAAGTGGATTATTTTTAATTTGAAAGGAATAAGGATTTAAGTCATGGGAGCAGTCATTACAAATGACAAAGAAGAGAGAGGAACCTGTAATCAATGTAGATTTTCAATTATCAATTATCAATTATCAATTATTTAAGATGGGGACGCCACTATGTGCATATTTTAACCCAAATATGAGTGAAGGATGAGTGTAGGATGAGTGGCGCGATCTTGTAGATAAGCTGCAACTTCAAGGAGTTACTGCTCATTACGCAAAAATTCTTGTTTAAGTAGCTCTCTGGGAAAACTAAGATGAATAGTTTTCATTCCATGATCATCCCAGTTACTAAATACCAGGTAATAAATGAAAGATAACAAATATCTTATTTTATAATGCAAGCAACTAAGAAATTGATTTTTGTGTCTAATTTTACAATATTCGTCTTTTGTGCACTCTTGTAAAAAGCACAGACAAAAATACTGTCATCTGAATTTAACAGTGCTGATTCAGTTATATTAGGATTGGATACTAATTTTACTTTATACCTTTTTTACACTCGTTAAAGCTAGACTTTTTAAGCCAGATAGTTAGCATCTCGCACATCAGTGTAAGAGTGAAAGGTTCAATCCCCATCAAATCCTAAATAAATGTTAAACCAGTGTCCCTCAAAAGTGTTTATGATTCTTAAAAAAGACTATGAGGTAGACAGTACCTAACAAACAAAAACACATAGAGACTAGATAGTTTTCTAACGTGACATTTTTCTCGCTACAGAATGTATTCACTATTCTATATAGTTATAATGGGAAAGTAATCACCAATTCTCGCCAGCGGATTGCTCAAGTCGGCATGCTAACAAGTTTCCAGGATAGAATAATTATATCTATTTAATAACTTACCACAGATAAAGATTTGTATGCACAAAAATGTGGTGTAAATCAGGTGTGAACCCGAGAATCAACAGCCTATTCATCATCAAAGGAAAATTCTCTAAATCTAAAATTGTAAACCAAATAATTGTGGAAGTTTTATCACCCCCAAAAGCAAAAATCCCTATCATGGTCCTTGCGTGCTCGTGATCACGTTAGACTCAATAGGTTCAACTCGGCCTGGAGCGGTCTAACACCATATTAAACCTCGCTAATTATTTAGTAAAATCTGGCCACCCTCGATTTTAAAGACTATTAATATAGTCTACTGTATCACTCTTTAACACCCAAGCCCTAGCATACGTTAACTTGGGCAGCAGAATGGTTTAAAAGCTACATTAGTAACCGGAAACAGCTTGTGGAAATAGCCTACATAAAGAACAACACAAAGTATAAGGCCCAATCCAAAGCTGTAGACGTGCAAAGAGGAGTACCCCAAGGATCAGTACTTGGCCCAGTCCTTTTCCTCCTTCTCACGAATGACCTACCTAGTTGGATTGGGGAAGATGGACACACCACCATGTACGCAGATGACACGGTTCTCACATTTGCGGACAAAACAATGGAAAATCTGGAAGAGAAAACCAACACACAACTCCAGAGAACAAAGCAATACTGTACCTCCAACGACCTAGTTCTAAACGAAAGCAAAACCGTTCAAATGACTTTCACCACCAAACGCAACAACACAGACATTACAATACCGGGACTACAAACACAAAATACCACAAAATACCTAGGCATCATAATTGACTCCAAGCTATCATGGAAACCCCACATAGACCAGCTCTGCAAAAAGCTAAGTTCAAGTCTCTACGTTATACGTAGGATCAAGCAAGCTTGCAGCCCAGAAGTAGCCAAAGTTGCATATTTTGCTCTATTCGAGTCCCACCTCAGATATGGCATTGCGACTTGGGGTGGAACATCAAAAGGCAACCTGGAAAGAGTACTCCTAAAGCAAAAAAGAGCAATTAGATGCCTTGCCGACCTGAACTACAGAGACAGTTGCCGAGAAACCTTCAAGAACCTTAAAATTCTCACATCAATTTCACTCTACATAAGAGAAGTCATTATCCACACCACTAAAACAGCCCAGCCAAGACACAGAGACATACACCAGCACAACACACGACATGCCGCCAATTTTTCCCTCCCACAACACCATCTGAGTCTGTACGAGAAGAAACCATCCTACAAAGGTGCTCTGTACTTTAACAACCTACCAGAGCACCTCAAGACAGAACAACCCAATCTGTTCAAGAAGCACCTGACAACATGGCTTATGGACCGGCCGTTCTACTCTGAGGATGAATTCTTAAACAATAAGCTACCATGAAAAAAAGAAGAAAAAGAAGAAAAAAATTTGAATTGTAATTGCAAATTACTGTAATAGTTTACGTACATACTGTACATTTTATGTACCTGACGCATGAATGTTCTCTAGGAATATTTCAATAAAGATTTTGTCTATTGTCTATTGGGCTTGACCAGGTTCTAACACCCTATAAAGGCCCTGCAGTTAAAGAATTACCGCAGATATGGCAGCAGAAGCCAGAAGGTTTGACTGGCTGTTTGCAGAGAGGTAAAGGACACACGTCTGTGCAGATCTCGGAGTGAAGGTACTCGTTGTGACACTCGCACCAAGTGTCCTCCTGACAGTTGGTAGCACTGATCACCAGGTCTGGAGCGTCTCCGTCTGGCTTGTGAAGCTGCCACGAGCTCTCATCTTGACTAGAGTGTTCATACCAGTCGAAAGAATCAATCATCTGAAAACAGCACTGTGTGTAAAGTGTAAGGCTCCAATACCTAATATCTATGCTTTGTTTCACATTCACTGTGGAGTAAAGAGTGTCATGTAGTGTCAGTCATGTTTTTCACATGGCAGTTTCAGCGACCCTAATTGTCCTAAAAACATCAGAACCTTCAAAACACTTCTTATAATTTAACCCTACATAGGTGTCTTTGATTTTAAAACTCAATGAAATCTGATTTTTTATTTTTTGTTTATTTAATTTATTCAGTGACACAAGGAATTTTAAGAGCGGGCCAAACAGCTAGTTTTATATTAATACAAAAAGGCATCAAAACCACATATAATCAATGTAATTGTGCATTAAATCAATAAAACCTCTGACTTAACATATTTATAAAAATGTATAGGAAAAAAACAATAACACCATTGGTGACACACGAAACTATACTCCTTGAATCCACAGCATGAGCGGTAAAACATGGAGGCGTGCTCCGTGCTACGCGACTCTTCAGGCTTTAACTGATTAAAAGGGGTAGTGCGGGGGAGGGCGAGAGCAAAATAATGTTCAATCGGTTCCAGAAGGAGGGACTTGGGGTACGGTTACTCTTGGAACTGCCTGCTGGAGATAACACATATTTTTCTTTAAAAACAAATGCGCCTGGAGAAAACTCTGTGGTGTCCTCTACCAAGTGTTAGTTTTTTTCCTTATGCTTTTTAACTATTACCTTACTACTTTTGACTTTCCACAATGTTTAGGGTAGGAGATAGTTATGTGACACATTTCTACCCTAAGGATTATAAAAATAATTAAACTAGATCACTAAACTACATCAGTTAATAAAAGTAAAAAATGTGAATCGTAACAAAACGAAACCCCCTACAGACTAAAGCACAACAAATTATCAAAACTTCTTAAATGTATTGAAAAGTTATAATACTCTTTTAAAGAAATGATAATGAATTAGTTAGCCCATTAACAATGTCTTGCAAATTTAATAAGGCAAAATAGATCCTTTACGTGGCAGTGCATTCTTCTCCAATAAACATCAGTGCTATCTTTATTTCTAGAGTAAAACAAGCTTACCACTCCGTTGATTTCGAGACTCCCAAGTTTCAAGGTTGGAGGTGTGATAATGTTGAAGGTTGATCCGGGAGTAAATTTGACATCCTCCTGGGTGCAAGGGACCCGCTCTAGATCTGGGGTAGCCCGGGTCCACCGGTCCCAGTTGCTCGGGTCGACCCATCTCATAGGTTGGGTGTGTTTGAAAATTACATCTGTGTAACAAAACAATTTGCTATCAGTTTACCAGAATTATATTACAAACTTTATTTAATCTGGAAGTTTTGTTTGTAAACTAACCTTTTGAGACCAAAGTATCATTTATTGATATAACAATGCCTTTAGTCCATTTTTTTTATCTTATGAACTTAACCCTTCACGGAAGGGTGATGGATATATCCGCCTAAGTCTTTGGCGATATAGGACTGGTGGCAGATATATCCGCTTATGGTTTTTGCTGTTCCAGACGGGAAGCGGATATATCCGCCTTCTCTTCAGACAGACTGGCAGGTTCTTGAGCAGTAACCAGATGTTTCATGGTACCAAGGCGCCACTTTCCTGCTCTCTCCATGGCTGCGCTCACTCCCGCACTCCCCCTTCTATCCCGTGCCAACCCCTCTCCCGCGCAACCCCTACCCCTCCTACACTCCCCCTCGACTTTTCACACTCAACACTACGTTGTCTTTATTTATTCTTATTGTTTACATATTGTTCCTTATTTATTGCCTAACGTTGTCATGGTCATATCTTCAAAGACGGGTGGCGGATATATCCGCTGCTTTTCTACTCATCTGCGGACGGGTAGCGGATATATCCGCATAGTTAAAAAGGAGTAAAAAATTATATTGACACTGAAAATGAAAGATAGATTTTAATATGTCACAACGAAATTGTGAGCATCCCTTGAGGCTGCAGTGAAATAGTGGACTTCTTTCACGATCACGGAGACATCGTCTGCATCTCCTGCTTTCACAAAGTCATCGTGAACATCTTCCGAGGCTGCAACAAAATTAGGGACATCTTCTGCGATCGCATAGAATCATTATTGTGTCCTGCAATCGTGGCGAAATCATGAACGTCTCTTGAGGTCATGGAAATATCGTTAACATCCATCCCAGTCTCAAAGACGTTTTCATCATCTTCTGCAATCGCAGTGTAATCGTGATCTTCGCAGGTGCTTTTGGCGATTGCAAAAATAAAAGTTCAGCTCACAAATCAAACTCCTTCACAGATTATTAATCAATGAAATTCTTTTTTGAATTTCTTTCTGTTAGGGAAATGCGGCACTGACAACACCTTAGATAGCTCAGCAGTTTACCAGACCTAAATGTCTACTGCAATATGAATGCTAGTTAACCCATATGATAATAACTAAATAATAATAACTACTCAACTACAACTACGGAAATTACTAATTTTTCATCAGCGATCCTCAACACTTATAGATAGTTATTCTAAGTCATAAGTATAAAAAACCGGGTAATAATAGAAAAAAATAAAGCATTATAAAACAAACTGTTCAAGAATATTTTTCCAACCATTTTCATTGGATTTTAATTTTTCTGTCAAATTCATAAATGCCTACAACCCAAATTGCTTTTATTTTTTATTAGAATTGACATATTCCGAACAATTGAGAAAATTGTATATTGGTAAATGAGAGAAAATAAAAGGTGCAAACAATAGATGGATCGTAAACATCTGACCTGTACACAACCGTTAATTATTGCAACAATAAAACATGGTAACAATGCAACAATAGCAGTGAAAGGACACTGTCCAACAATCATTGTGTTGAATTGTTTGTTTTCATCTGATAGCTTCCCTGATAGGGAATGATTCTAATTTATGGAAGTATCACCCATTGTACAAAGAACATTTGGCTTGCCTTGTTTTACAAATGGGCAATATTTGTGTTTTATTTACATTTTGATTTGCAATAGTCTGATTTTAGCTTCAAACGGGGTTTTAAAACAAAATTTTAAATTTTCAAACAAAAATCTCAGAAATGTTATTAATATTTGCATAATATTGATATTTTTTTGTATTCTAAAAGATTTTTAAAGAACCCTAGAAACAAAATTCAAAGATGAGACTACGCTAGCATAAATAAACTGTGGACATAAAATTATTATTTCAACTGTCATATGTTAAAACTTAATTTTCCTCGTTTAAAAAATACAATAAATTACAAACCAAATCCCTTTTTAACCCTTTAAAATTAAACATCTGAGATACGTATCTATAATTTGTAGCATTAAATCAGTTAGGTACTTTTAGATACTTAAATACACATCCCATCTTTATAAAATAAATTATAAAATTAATAGACCGAATGTATCAATTTTTTATTAAAACAAACATAGTAGAATCAGCCAAAGGGTGTGTTAATGTCTGCAATTATATTCTCCCATAATTACTGAATAGTTGTGATTTGACATAAAAATGCTCTTTGCACTCTGTTGGTGAAAAATTCACTTTGGTCCTTTTTATTCTACAACTTTAATATGTAAATTACATGTATTGTTCAATCCACAGTCAATGTTTTAATTGTACAGTAGATCACACAAACAACAAGACCCTCAATAGTAAGTCACCTTTGATAATAAATAACATTTAAAAACACATTTATTTTGTAGTATGTAACATACCCATAATCTTAGCTATTGCAAACCTCGATAAGAAGTCTACCTTGATATCAAGTCCTATTGGATAATCCCTGTGAGAAACTTGCTATCAAGGTTCTACTGCAGTAAACAAAATACCCCCGCCGCAGCAAACCTGTAGACTAAGCGAATTTCAACTTGTCTGATTACATTTTTACTAAAATATTTCCATAAATAAGACATTTTTTTTCCAATTTAAATTATTATACATTAGATTTAACAAGTGCTTAGGTTTGCTGCTACGGGGAGGGTAAAAAGTGTTTTTTGACCATACGTCAATAGTCTAAGATGAAATAATTAAATTTGCAAATTGTATCAACATATATCCATAAACAAGTAAATTACAACAGTTTTAATTTTCTTCATAAGAATAACATAGGAATTTTAAAATACACTATTTTTGAATTTTCTCCGTGACCATTAGGCATACAACAGCGCTTCAAGATACTAAACTTTTATTTTTTAAGCTTTACAAAACAGTTTAAAAAGAAATAGAAAATTTTTTTTAGGGTCAAAAATGGGAAAACCCCATTTTTACCCCATAAAACCCCGTTCCCATGGTCCAATTATGCTGGTTCGCGAACTCGTTCGAATTGGAACTTTGTACCAAATTTCATCAAAGCCGGATCATTTTTGCTTGAGTTATCGCGCTAACGGACACATATATATATTAATTTGAACGGATGGTGTTTTTGGCCTCTAGGGACCTCAAAAAAAAAATTAAATCGGTCCCGGGTCCAGGAAAAACCCTTGCAAACATAATCATAACTAATCTACCACAATCATCACTATGGGGTACCTTGTCCGCTACACTTGGCTGTACGGTTGGCCGGTGTGAGGTGTACACTTCCATCCTTTAGTAGTACAAGCTCTACGTCATCTCCCAGTACCATGCCAGAGACGGAGGTCTGTTGCTCGGGCAGTTGTAGTACCAGTGGGGCAGAGCTCTGGAGGATCATCCTGTCCGCGGGACACGGGAGTCGATGGGGAGACCAGTTGTTGGGGTTGTTGAGGTTCAGGTTGGTTTGCCACGTTCGAACAACACATTGTACCTCCAGCGTCTTCAATGCTGTAAATGAAATCGTAGGTTGAAAAGTTAGAATGGTTTGTTAGCCAAAAAATATGCATATAATTGGTTTAAATACCTGCTTCTATGTAATCCAATAGTCACAATTAATGTCACGCAACTAGTTTCGACTTCATGAAGAAGTCATCTTCTGGCGTCCAGTGAATGTCAAACAATAACTTCATCAGAAGTGATTATTATAGTACTTATATGAATGTAGAGTCTAGACGCCACATTCACCCGGTCGTGACGCATCATCCTTAAGTTACCATTAACCTGTCTTATTCGCATTGTAAATGTATCTTTTTATGTAACTATGTCCGTGTTTGTGTGCATATTTGTGTGTGAATATGTGTATCGACGACCTTCTGATGAAGTGATTATTTTGACATCCACTGGATGCCTGACTTCTCCATGAAGTTGAAAATAGTTGTGTGACATTAATTGTGACTATTGGATTACATAGAAGCAGGTATTTAAACCAATTAATATATTCAACTAAAATCCGGAGGCTAACAAAAAATATATATATAAATATACGTCTAATAACACTTGTAATAATATATTTACACTTATACCATTGACTATAAATCCTTAAGGATTTATAGTCAATGGTAAAACTAAGAAATAAAAAAACTTTAGTAGAGGAGTAGCATTTTTCATTATTGCATAACGATATTTGCGAACACAAGCATTTATTTTATTAAATAGAAAAAGAGGAGATTTTCCACTTATTTGCATAAATCTCCCTTAGCTAAATTTTGAACATAAAAATCTGGTAATCTCCGGGGAAATCCGGCGATATTTCAACAATCCCATTCCAATATTTTCCCCAAGACATGAGTGTCACGTTTACCTAAGACAGGTCACGACACATTTACCTAAATCAACATATATTGAAAGCGCTACGAGCAAGCAAATAAATAAATAAATTAAATATAAACATACTCAGTTAACTTACCAAACAGTAGAAATATGAAAGAGTATAACACAGTCATTGTGTACTGGGTGGATGGAAGTTAGGTAACATCTGCTTTAGTATCTGTCATTTGGTGATTAGACTGATTACATCCTCCTGGGAATGTTCTGCTGATACTATAAGAAACAGACACAGTGAAATTAGTATTATCCATAGTAGGCCTACTTATTCATTTAGATAGGTTTTTTGATTGGGTCCCCTTATAAATTTAACAGCTTAATTACTGATTACTCTCACAGAGTGGCATCTATCAATTATTCAACTGAATACTTCTTCTAGGTCCCTTAATTGCCATTGGCAGTATGGGCTAACTAACAGTCCTGACTAAGGGACAGTCGGCCTTAGTCAGTAACAAGACTACAAGATCGCACTCATCCTACACTCATCTCCATTCATCCTTGGCTTAAAATACCTACCTTTGTATGGTCGCCATTTGAATTGAAAGTAGTTAAGTATATTCTTCTGGGCTAAAACCTACAACGGACTATGTCCTCTTCACAAAAACTAAACCACTGTGCTGAAACTATGCAGAGGTTGATCATTACTTGTCTAACATAAGTCGGTTTCTACAATTGAATCGCCCTTAGCTTACGTAGACTTGTAAAGCATTTTTTTGGGGCTTTTTTCAAATAAATATTGGTTTGGCCTCCGTGACAAGCAAAAGAAAGCCCAAGACATGTATATATTTAGAGGAAGTTATTTTACCCTACCAAAAAAGCCAACTGAATTAAACCTGTAATTTTATTCTTGAGATACAAACTAATTTGAAGATACTTCAAATATGATAAATGGATTTTATCTTGATAATATATTATTGCTTTGAAGAAAATCTGTTTGTATTTTTTTCCTAAGAAATAAAAGTGAACAACCCAAGTGTAACAACTTAAAAAACTGCACAAATGCATAATTGAAAAACAGTTACATATTGGCAGGGTACATCTTGGGAGTTGTGTAAAATTTAATATCCATAAAAGTCAAGATAGGTTTTTATTGATAATTTTTCCTAACACCTAATAAAACCTTTGTAAAAAATATCTTTTAAGCATTAAATATAAATTTGTTACAAAATATGTGCATATTTCAACTCAACTCTTTCTATGGTCTGAATATGTATCCCTCAAAAAACCAGGTATGAATGGTTTCAATACAATAGAACCATAGTTAAATCTCAAAAGACGTCTAGATAGTTAAGCACAAAATTGAACGGTTAATTCATGCCCAGGTTAACAGCCTTCTCCAGATTCTAATTACCAATAGGAAGATAAAAACGAATTTTACTTATAAAAAACTTGAATAAAATAATGAATTCCAAAAAATATTGGAATGGAGGATTTTCTCTAAAATATTCTAATGGATTCAAAAAGAGGCTTAAAAAGAACTAGGGATGAATAAAACCACAATGTTATATTATAAATATTTATTTCTGAACTAGCGGCCGAGGAAATAAATAAAACAAATAACAAAAGGAATATGTTTGCACATTTCCTAACATAAATATACATAAATAAATAATACAATAATAGGCAAGATAAATTACAGAAAACTATTTGGTACACATGACTACAACGGCTCTTAAGCATCAAAAAGGTAACAAAACAACAAAACATGACAATGAATAACAGAACTAAAAGCTAACTTAAAACTAAACATGGCACACATAACAGAACATATCTATAAAATATTAGAAAATATTTACTTTTGTACTTATGTACATTTGGCAATGTACTCTGTGAAACTTTGTTTGTACTTATGTACATTTCATAATGTACTCTATATTTTATTTTCATTCTTTTTTATTTTTTTTATTTTTTATTAGTTTTACTAATAACTTTTCAAAACAGCTATTATTATACTAGGCCTACTTTGAAATTAAATTTAAAGTAAGGAAAGGTTAAAATTAATGTAAAACTACATTAGTAAAATTCTAGAGAAATGCCAAAGCTTAGCTTGGATTGAAAGAATATTAATAAATGTATTTAAAATACATTAAAGCACTAAACAACCATTAATAAATAATAAAAGCTAAAATTGGAATAAAAATTATCTACAACCTACAGTAATACATGCTTTGTTTGAATTCTGAATGTAGATTTTTTTACAATTCTTAATACTAAATAAATATGGGAAGTAATTAATACTATTTATGGAATGTCAAATTTCAATAAGAATAACTTTTTGATTATTTGAAGGAAGACATTTGTTTGATCAGAAATTATTTCTGTGAACTTGCAAGATGTTTTGTGGAAGAACATGGCAGTAGATAATTTACTAAAATATTACGCTGAATTAAAACATTTTAAAATATTGAAAATAATAAAATATCATATAAAAACATGCGTAGAACATAATTTTGTGTGGGAAAAAATCTTGTCTTCTTTTTTGAAAGCATGACAATCTTTTAAATAGGGCCTACTGATTCTAAACTAAATATTTAGCAGCCTTAAGATTTTAAACTAAAATAGCAAATGGAAACAATTAAAACTACAGTACGAATACTGTAAACAAATTAGCAACAATTAACTTAATGAGGTTTGTAAATACATACAAACTCGGGTTTCAACTAACCTAATGCTTAACATTTGAAAGACAAGTTACAGAACACATACACTAACTAAATAAAAACAGCAAAATACTATATACATAGTAAAACTTGTAACTAAAACTGGAGATCTATCCATACTCCGAGCTCACCGTAAGGCTGAATTCACCTTCTTCTATGAAGGTGTCGTGATACCATTGTCTGGTATCTAGTAGGACTGAAACAAGAAAAAAAAACATTTGTAGCACTAAATACATACTACACTAGGGACTTGCGATAACTTTGATTTTCAAAAAGATATACCTGTATTTTGGGAATCAACAGATTGTACAGTAAATTTAATTAGCAGGATGACAGTAAATGTATAGAAATAAATCAATAATTGTATAGAAATAAAGATTTCACGAATATTTATTTGAATATTAATATATTTGAAGACCCATGGAAATCCTTGCCTACACCCCTCATATTTTATTATCTTAAACCAATACTGTTTTCAAAATTATGGTGAAACTTGATTTTACAAATCCACGGTGGCCATAGAAATCCTGGAAAACATTCACACATTTGTTTTTGGTTGTGATTTCTGGTAGCCCAAATGCAACTTTTTACTGTGGGACTGCTGGTCCCTGCTATTTTTGGGTCAGGTCAGGCCAATGGTTAGGCCAAAGAATAAGTTCGAGCCAAAAATGATAATCAGGTCGAGTCTACCGTGACCACGGAAGATGTTCACGATTTTTCCGTAACCGTGAAAGGTGTTTACGATTTTGCAATGGCTGCAGACGATGTTCACGATGTTTTAACAGTCAGGTTTTATGTGCGCTAATGGAATTTCATGAGCCTTTACGCAAGAAAATGCAGTAGGCTACATTGTTCCTTCTAAATTTGTCTTAATTTCATATTAGAGCAAAATGGGTTTTTGCTTGTAAAACAAATTCACGCATAATAGCCTACCCGGTTTTCCTCTAATTCTTGGTCAGTGACCACCCTGAATTTAGATAATAAAAATTTCCACAATAATCTTTCAAACCACTTATTATCATGAGATTTGAAAAAAAAATTAACAGTTTGTTGCTTAAAGGGTTACTGTAGACATTAGCCCCTCTCAATTGCTAAAAAACAAGGTTGTTTAAACAGAGGCCGAGCCCAAATCCTGGAAACGCCAAACTTGTTGTTCAGTAAGTTGTATTCCACCTCTTTATCTTACTCTGTGATGGGAAATATTTGCAATAAATCCTTCCAACACAAACTCACCACCACCGACAACAAACTTTAAAAAAATTAAATTAACCATACAGAACAGGTAGTTCAACTTACATATATCTCCAGGTTCGACCTTGAACTGGAAGCCTGTGCAGACGTCTTCACACTCTGGAGGTGGGTTGAGTCTCCATGTCTTGTGACCTTGTAGTTGTGCTTGCCACATTAACCGACTGATGTAGTCCAGCTGTAACAACACAAACGTACAACAGCAGCGCACATGATCAATCAATTGTCTGAGACAGCAGACATGGGGGCATATTTTATGCTAATTATGAATGCAAGGTAAGTGTGGAATGATGTGTGTAGCTTTGTTACTGACTAAGACCGCCAGTTCTTTAGTCAGCATCATTAAAAGCCCTATGACCAAGTACAGCTTGGCCCAGAGGAAGGATATGAGACAAAGAGGAATAATTAGAAGAAGGTGGAAGAGAGAATTAAGAAGTGGGAAGGCATGGATAAAGTAACAGCATAGTATTAGGAGAATAAGTAGAGGAGGCCTAATCAACGCCTAGAAGTCTGAATAATCTAATCAGGATATGGTTTATTTAGTATGAATATCAGCAGTGCTCAATATGCAGCAGAATGGCCTTCCGGTACCTCTCAAAAATCTTTTTATGGTGGATAGGGGAGGGGTCATAATTCCCGGTAGGTTACAGTCCGGGAAACTAATTTTTTTACAAATCGAGCATTGATTATCTGTATTTTTACATAACTCATCAGGACTCATTTAACCAGCTAAGTATCTAACTTTTGGGGCACAATTTGTAATATTTTTTAATTTTTTCACTAATTTTTAATTATATTATCATTAATTCTAACTTTGGTTTTTATTGTTTATGTGTCGCTTGACCCAACCTAATGATAATGTACTGTATTACATTTCTTGTTGCAATATTTTTTTTTTTATTGAAGGGAATTTGATATACTGTATCTCTACATGATTAAAGGAAATTCATAGAACTCTCTTAGCCTACATCCATTTCAGTTCAACATTGAAAAACTGTAGGCCTACCTAATTTGCGGAAAAAGATTGAACACAATGAATGTGTTTTCTGTGGGATCCATTCACAATAGACTCACAGTACGTTATATGCTAATTGGTAGGAAAGAGCTAATTATCATAGGGAGTGCAGTGACCCCTAGCGTTACGGTTAGTCAAGCGGACACACACCCACATACTGACGGCACCACGCCATGGTGCATGAACACCGGTACATACCCGCTATGGTGGTACCATATGGCAGACTGGAGGTTATGTAAGAAATACATTGGATCCTACAAAACATGGCCTTTGCAAGTTCCTGTACAGTTAAAAACGTTTCTTTTCATTAACATTGTAATTAGTTTTATAAACCCATCACTAAACGCTGTGTTATTTATTAGTTATTGTCCTCCTAATCTATATATTAACTAAACCATAATATTCTGTCTAATTTACATCAAGAAATAATTTAAAGTAAAACAAGGTGATTTAAGGGTTAGGAATGGAGATATAAGAGGGGTCGATAACAGCTTAAGAGGGAGAGTACCTATAAAATACAAGATTAAGAACATTTGGTGGACATGTGAGAAAAGAGAATTCTTTGGAAAACTGAGTCCGGTTACGGTTGGAGGTGTAGGGTAAGACTGGTTTAATCAGTGGCAGGAGAGGAGCTGTAGAAAAGGAGAAGATGAAAACCTTATAAACCCTTAGACCCATGAATAACCAGAATAACATTTATTTTTGAATTTACAAATAATTCCCTAGGTCAGGTTGTGCCCCATAGGCGGATCCAGAGGTGGAGCTGTAGCCCCCTTTGGAGTAATAAAGGTTTTGAAAAGTCAAAATATGAAGTAGGCATGATGAGGTTTGAATCTTACTATATGTTATGCTCCCAGATTGCTCAAAAATACATGTTCAAAGTTATGTTAAATTTTTCTCCAGTTACAATTTCATATTTCAAAACCCATGAAATTATTTGAAAGCAGCCCCCGCTTTCAACTGGCCGGTTCCATCCATGTGGCTTAACATTCACTACCTACTGACAAGAAATTGTTAATCGCGAATACAAATTCTACTCACGTGCATGACAGCGCCCTGCTGGTATCCCATGAAGATGTAGTCGACATGGGCATGCTCCGCATCGGCCGGGAGGAAGTGCGGGCGACTGTAATATTGCCTCATCACTTCCAACACGGGCGGATAGCAGTTACTCCTGATACACAACAGTAGGGTCAAGCAGGAAAATCAACGACAAAGTTGAAAATAGCAAAAAAGAATACAGCAAACTTCCTCTAAAACAGTGTAGGCCTACTTTATCACATGATGCTGAATTAGAAGAAGTTGGCTGTATTTTAAATTTGTTTAAAGTGGAATAAAAATATAAGCTAGCCTTGTCTGTAAAGTTAATGATCAGTTTAACCTCCAAATAATTGGAAACCCTGACTTTGTCGTAGTAGTACTTTAAAAAGCTCAACGAGTTTGATTTTTTAAAGTATTTGTTTAACGCACAAATTTATTAACAATTTGTATTCTATACAACTTCTCTGAGACTTTTGGAAACATGATTCACGATTTTTGTGTTATTTGGTGCAGAATTGTAAGCCCAATGCAGTATGGAAAATACAAGACTATCAGGAATCAGAATTTTAGTCTAAATAAGTCAATAAAATGGTCAATTAAGTTTAATTGTGAGTTTTACTTTAAAAATGACTATCTGATTTGTAAAGCCATTTATTGTCTTAAAGATAGCTCTTCTTTATTGCCACAACTGTAATTTTGTTCAAATCAAATTTCAGCAAAATTGTATAAAAACTGATTAAGGTTGACAGATAAAACCTGTTAAAGTAAAATTAAATGTTTGAACAGCCCTACCCAATAATAGACTTCACGGGACCATTAAAATTGTACAAAAAATATGCTCTCAGATCAAAGTAACTGTACAAAAATGAGCAGGATGAACCCCTGAAACCCTTTGTAACAAAAACACTTAATTCGACCAATTTAGGGCCATTATCCATTTTATTTTGTGGCTCAGACATATCAGAGCCATGTGGCCAGGTCTATTCATCATCAAGAAGGCACCTGGGGAGGGAAATAGGGTGAACCCTTGTAAGTGGCTTCCCTCCCCCCCCTCTTGCCACAGGCCCTACAATCAATCCAGGCAAAAAATCTCAGCCTACAGGAAGTGGTAGTCCCTCAACATATGTGAGGGGTTTCCTTTCCGGTATCCTGATATTCACCCAACCCTACCAGCTGTTTAGATGCTTAACATGCTAAAAGCAGTTTAAAAATAGTTTTGGGAATTTGTGAATGGTGTTGGAAAAATGAAAATCCTAGTAGCAGACAACTCATGAATTTGAAACATTAGAAAATAATTTTTATTCTGAACTAACTTATGTCATAACATTAGTTAAGGATGGTGTGTTCTGACTAGTCAATTTTAAGAAGCTTTTTTATTTAATTTATAAGTTATTAACTTTGTAAGATTAACATGCTTACTTCTATATGGTACAACAAAACATTAGGAAAGGTAGACATGTAATTAAGTTTACATTCTTCACACAAGTTAAATTTATTCTTTGCTTTTTCTGGAAAAATTTTAATACAAACTTATGTAAGTTAACTTATAAGATACGCTTTTAATTAAGTTAAAGGTAGTGTTAAGAGGAGAAATTTGGTATTCTAGTCTTATTATTGTAAAAATATGTGACTTTGCAAATGGGGTTTTAGAATTGGCTACTGTATTCAATTATAAAGAAATTGTTTAATAGGTACACTGTATTTTAAATAGGCCTACAGTATTGGAAAATATCCCATTAATAAAACAAAACAGCAGACTAAGCAAATGTAAAGTAATTATCCTATAGAAGTCTTATTCAAACAGGGTGTTGTTATCAAATCAATTAACATTTCGCTTTGTCCAGTAAATACTGGACATAACATATAATTAGGAAGCTACCTACTATGAGAAACACAATGTATAAACATGTTTATAACCTCATGAGTGACCAATCACGATTATAACAAAAACAAAATATTGTTGTTTTGATAAAATGTTTTAAGTAATCTATAGGCCTAAATTAAAATTAGGGATATAACGATATAACTTATCTATAAAAATAAATAAATCAGACAGTTCAATTAATTTAATAGGTAGGCCTACACAGATAACGTAGGAAAAACTTTCTGTAAGTTAATAGATAAGTTATACTATCTACCGGGGCTTTTGTATTCAGATTCACCATTTTAATTTCAATTCTTCTGTAATTTTAAATGAAAGATTGACCAAAAATGTACATAACTTATTTGCTGTCAATGTAACCTATTATATAGCTAAGCTATAGGCTATGTAACTTATAACCTAGTCTATAATGACAATTAAGTTTGATTAGTTTTGAAATCTTTAGGAATAACCTCTTCATAATTGAACGTTTAATGTGTTAAAGGTCAAAGTATGAGTGAGCGACAATATTCTAGATAAGTTAATTCATGTTTTCTATAACTTAAGCTTAATTTTAAAATGTACAGTAGACTCCCTCTTATCCGGACTCCTCGGGACCGAGGCCAGTCCGGATAACGGGTTTTCCGGTTAAACCGACATCCCCAAAAACTCGTAAAAACGGAACGTTAAATGCGTATTTGACTTAAATTTATGAGAGCATTGTATTTAGACACGTGATCACTGGTCTCAAATATTTCCCAAGAGAACGGTTGTTTCAGTTCCGCCCACTTCCTGCTGATCTAGTCCGGTTAAACCGATGTGTGAGCCAAACTTGATGGGCCATAACAGTTGCTACAGCTCATTCAAAAAGTTAGAAAAAAACACCGTGTAATCAACAGAAATTTAGTCATTTAAAAATTATCAGCGCAATCTGTTGGTGGCTCACATCAACTGCGACGAATTTAATTTAAAACTGGTGACAAAAATGATATAAGTATATATACTCGTTAATATACTTTAACATGGGGATGGAGAGTAAAGGTTTAGGATTCTCTATTTTCACCCCACGCTGTAAATAAAATATGTGATTGGAATTTCTTCCATTTGTTTTTAGCGAATTTCCCATATAGGGAAAGTTAACTTATTACCGGTACCGTAGTACTCATGGTAAGACCTGGACCCGGGACCGATTTACTTTTTTGTTTTGAGGTCCCTAGAGGCCAAAAACACCATCCGTTCAAATTCATATACATATATAGGCCTATTTATCCGATTTCGATGAAATTTGGTACAAACGTGTAAACCTACATTTATTCGAAGGAGTTCGTGAATCAGCATGATTGGACTATGGGAACAGGGGTTTATGGGGGGTGTTTCATGGGGTAAAAATAGGTTTTTCCCATTTTTGACCCTAAAAACACACAATTTCTTTCCAAACCACTTTGTAGAGCTTAAAAAAAACAAATAATTTAGTATATTGAAGCATTATTATGCGCCTAAGGGTTGCGGAGAAAATTCCAAAAAATTGTAATTTAAAATTTCTATGTTATTCTTATGGAGAATAAGTCAACTGTTGTAGTTCGCTTGTTTATGAACAAATTTTGTTTGAATTTGGAAAATACATTCTTTTCTTGCTTAACTATTAAGATTTTACAACAAAAAACACTTCCCCCCCCCCCCGTTGCAGCAAACCTCAGTAGGCCTCTATTTGTTAAACTAATTAGGCTATATTTAAATAGGGAATAAAATGTGATATTTTTAAGGAGACATTTTAATGTAAATCCAATCAGGCAAATGGAAATTCGCTAAGTCTGCAGGTTTGCTGCAGCGGGGGTATTATTTTCTTTTTATACTTCGTTGTTATTTTTCGTCACCAGCATGGTAACCCATAAAGCCCATTTTGAATTTTTAAAATTTCAAATTCATTTTTTGTTCTTATATTTGAGTCTATTTTTATTTTGAAAGGGATTCTGCACTTCTACAGGAAAATATCTTTCTAAAGGTAGGCTATGCGTATATTTTCCCTGCGATGCACACGAGGTGAGAAAAAAGGTTTTAAAGAAACATGCTTGCCTACTAATAGATGGCAAGAACTGATTTCAGTACCAATAAGAGCTATAGACTAATTTTCTTGATAGGCGTATAGCATACTATGTGAATATAATTGGAGGTACCGTAAAAAGCTCTTTGTTTGGAAAGTATATTAGTTAAAGAAAATCTGTAAACACATTTTAAGTCTAGCCAAAAGCAAGCAAGTAAGTTAATGAATAAGTAAATGGCAAAAGTGAACTACTAATATTTTAATTATAAAAAAGTTACTTACCATCCAACGTACCACGAAGATTCTCCGTCTTTGAGTTTTACTCTTGATTTGGGCATAGAAAACACATCCCTGAGGGACAGAAAATCTGTCTTGAAAGTTAGAAATTGGCAGTCTTCTTCCGTACTTTCATATGCTCCTTCAATGTTTTCAAACATCGACTTAAAGAAGTGGAAAGAAAAGGAGTTTGCTGCTGGCCAATGTTTTGCAGCCCCCTTAACCAATATGGGTTTGTATGAATAAGCATATGTGAAGAATTCTTCTCTTGTAATATTTGGAAGCACTAAAACTTCATTTACACCTCTGCAAATGTTACAGTCTGCAACTGGTCGAGTGGCTTCCCACACAAAGTAATTGTTCGGTAAAAAACATCTTATACCGAGAGCACTTTTCATCATACCATCGAGTAATGGTAATCTGATTAAAACACTTAAAAATGTAATAAAAACAATCATAACTGATGACACATAACCTAGCTTTTTAAGGGTAGCAGGTTTGAGATGGCTGCTTCGGTAGGATTTTGGTGTTCTTGCACTTTTGCACAGATTTTTAAGTTCACTCATACTTGCACCTTTGTTCAACACATTTTGATTTAAAATTACAAACTGGTCGAATAAATAAGCGGATTTAATATTAACACCAACAGCACCAAGATTAGCCATTCTCGCCATTTTGACACTTGATGTTTTTCTGACCTAAGTATCCACAGCCATTACAATAGTTCATGTTATTCTTCTCAATATCAAATATTTCTTGTGATACTATATACTATGAAAAAATGGTAGATTAAATTTACTTCATTTATATTATTTATTTTCATTCCAATAGTCAATGGCATTACATAATTGATACCTGCAATTACAATCTTATACGTGCTTAGGGGTCATTCACAGTTAAATCCACAATTGACCTGCAATTACATAACGTTCTTGGAAGGGGGAGGGGTTCGCCGTAGCGTTACGAGGAGAAGATACGATTACAAGATCATTACGGTAACACACAAAAAAATATATTTTGTACCAAAATTATAATATTATTTAAGAGACACTCTATTTTGTAAAACTATTTTTAATATAAGTTTAAATTTTGGTCTTGAACTGATAATCTAGATCCCATTCGTCTTACCATGGATAAAACCATATAAAACACACTCCCTTGTGTTGGTTATTATCTTACCGACTTCTAGGAATGGGCACACGGAAGGGACTAAGGCTAAAGGTGTAGTGACGTCATATCTCTAGTGGGTAATGTCTTCTCTTGAGGCGACACGATTACCGTTACGAAACGATGTGATTTCAGCGGCGTTCGTGGCATAGTTGGTAGCGTTCCGGATTGGTGTGCAGGAGGTCCCGGGTTCGAATCCCGCTGGTCCCACTGACTTTTTGTCAACAAATTTTTCATATCAGCAAGTTTGGTTGGTTAGGTTAGGTTATGACAGTTTAATTTTATAATACTACATTTTAAAATTAATTTTATAATTAATTAAAAATTATAAGTAATTATTAATTAGATTTTTATCTTATATAGTTTTTATATTATCAGCAAGTCTGGTTGGTTAGGTTATGTTATGACAGTTTAATTTTAAAAATTAAAAATTTATTTTATAATTTTAAAACAATATTTTATAATTAAAAAGTTAATTTAATAACTAAAAAAAAAATTAATTTAAATTATTTCAACTTAGCAGTTCTAGCGGCGAACGCTGACACTACAAGATATGTTAGCCTTAGTCCCTCCCGTGTGCCCCACCGCCGACTTCTAGCTCTGATCTTCCAATCATAGAGGACATATACCTGGGTTGAATACCGTGGGTTCGGATCCTGGTCACTGCCGCAAACATTTTATCAGTACAGTTCACCTTGGATCCTCAGATCTTGAGTCTCTGTGGATGGGCAAATGCAAGGTTAAAAGAGGCCGCCAACCTCTTAAAAATATATTCCTATATATTCTTTCTTTTATTTGACCACGTGGATTTCAACAACCCCGATTTCAACTAAACACAGCAATAAATTTACAAAACACAATCTCTCTCCCGAGTCCTGGTATTCCAACCAAAAAAGTGCGCGTTCTCAAAATCAAAATCCCTAACTATATGAAAGCGAAGAATATTATATTGAACTGACATCAATGTACAAAAACACATACAATAACAGGGTTCTGATTTATTTATTTCTGAACCCTTTATTTATTTATTTTGGGGTTCTGATTACTGTTATTAAAAATCATAAGCAGTAAACTTACAGCATCCAAAGTATAATCAATGGTCTTGAAGGGATTATTCCTGTGGTCCATATTTATAAAAAGAAAGCTGTCAGCTGATTGTTTCAACTTCTTGTTCTTACTTTTGCCTTCTGCTTCTCTGTCTAATTCTAATTGCTTGCTTTGCTTTTGCTTCTCAAGTCAACCCGAAACCCGAAATTTAAGCCGACCAGTCTTCTATAATAAGATAATTAAATTTCATAATGGCATCTCTTGTAAAAGGTAAGGTGTTTCTATTTATATGTGTTATTTGTCTACGATTCCTATTGCCTTGTGGCCATTATGCTTCAAGTAATGTATTGGAAATGCCAGCGCTTTCTTATGACCTTACTTTACTCCATCATGCCCTCCAAATGCTTCTATGCATTTGGATAATTTCAGATTAGCGTACATGATCCGACTGAACATTACTTTTTCTAAGTTTCTAAGAGGGCTTAGTTATTTCCATTCAAATACAATAACCCTTTAAATCTTAACACTCACATGTAACAAGAGTTTTTTTACTTGAAGTTGTCCAGATTTTTTAGCTTTTGGCTGCACATTAGTTTACGTCCTACACTCATTCGAATGAAAAATATATATAGATTATTCCATATAGGCTTATTGATTATTTCATTTGGTTATTTTGGTTAGGTTTTAACCTAACTAACCAAACTTGATAGTTCGAATGAAATCAAATCAAATCAAATCATTTATTGTCCATAAACATATATATACAATGCATAGACAAAAGTCACCAATGTCAAATAAAAGAAAAAAGAATACAATTTCAATATATATAAAACAATATTACCTCTTAGTGTACAAACCTGGGCTCAACTTAGATCACTCAAAATGTAGTTTTCCAAATTGTTATGCCGAATCGGTTAGATCTGAAATTTTTGATGAGTACGGTCTTTTTTTAACTAGCCAATTCTTCAGAGCAATTTTGAATTTAGTGCCTTCTAATTCCTTTATATTGTTTGGTAGGAGGTTGAAATAAATTGACCCCATCACAAAAGGACTTCGGCCAGTTTTGTTGAAATTCCTCCTCACACGGTGAAAATCATCCTTTCGTCTCGTGTCGTACCTGTGGATTTGACTATTTTTATTTGTGTGCTTTACATCATTTTTCACAAGCATAATTAATTGATAAATGTATAGACCATACAAAGTGAGGAGATTTAAATTAACAAAAATATCTTTACAAGACCTTTTGTACCATACTTTGGCTATCAGTCTGATTGCTCTTTTCTGGAGAACAAAAATTGTATGTAAATTACAGTCGGGAGAACTTCCCCAGAAAATAAGGCCATAAGACAAGAAAGGAAATATGACACCAAAATAAATTGTTTTTAACGTATCTGTATCTAAATAAAAAGATATTCTTCTGAGGAGGCTGATTCCACTTAAAAGTCTATAATCAGTAAAAGTAAATAATCATTAAAATCATCTATAAAAGTAAATAATCATTATATCGATCGATATATTCATTCGAATGAGTGTAAGATGTAAACTAAAGTGCTATTAGTACTTTCTTATATAGAAAGTGTTTTTTATTTAGATACAACTAATTAAATATCAGGGAGTTAGTAGGTTCCCATTAATTATGGTGTGCTCTTCACTAGGGCCATAACTTAGGCCTAGGCTGTAGGTTAACACCATAGCCTCTTCTAATTCACCCGGAACAGAAGGCACCATAGCCTCATCTAGAAGGCGGCACCGTTGGTGTGTGGCAACGTTGCACCAGCTTAAGTTGTCTATTGCGATGGTAATAAGAATACCGGTAACAAATATGTATATACATAAACAATGTGATTTAGAAAATCTATAGGCCTAGCAAAAAATAATTGTTTGTTTTAATAATTTGAAGGGTTCTAAATCTAAAGGGTATCTAATATTTACTAAAAAATCTAGCTTCTACTCGCGGCTTCGCCTGCGATGGTTTAACCATAAATAAACAGAGTAACTTATTATACAATCATTACAATACGGTAATTAACTTAGTTACGTCACCGCCTCGGCCCAATAGGCGAGGTGGGAGAGGGGAACGCTCTGTCTGGCCCACCTCTTTTACTCCATACATCTTGCCCTTTAACCCTCCGAGTGTCCCTTGTTTTGGCCTTAATGTCTGCCTATTTTTTGCTCATTTGCAAGGTTTTATTAAAACGGATCTGAGAAGCTTGAAAACAAAGTTAATTATACTGTTCTATATACCATTTTGTTTGGAAAATCATGGGCTTCAATATTATACATAGAACATAAGGAACATTTGTTTCAAAAAAAAATTTTAGGTAAAAAAAAAATATTTTGGAAAATTTTCAAAAAAAAATAAGTTTGCGCTCAATGTAATTGTATAAATTATAGGCCTATAAATATTTGAAAATAGCCACTTTGTTCTAAATTTTATGAGGATTACAAATATATAGGTAATAATATAAGGAAGTAGATTTGCAAATAAATAAGTTATGGGCAAAAAACAGATTTCAGTACATAGCGTTTAGCTAAGAATGCATAGCCTAACCATAGCTAGGAATCTGGCTGATAATTTACATCAATATCACTACCTACTTCTTCAGGATCATCAACCAGCCCTTCAAAATCACTTAAATCTTCTTATAATGCACCACGTATATCACTACTTTTGATTTTTAACACTAAAACAATGATAAACGTAATAAAACACATCAGTCATCGGTCCGAGGATAACCAAGCTGTTTACAAATACGCACGTCAGCTGTCTGCTACAATATTTTCGGAACTAAAATGAATAGCGCTTAGAGACAGACCTCCGGAGAAAGCTCTGAATCTGTAAAATAAAACGATACCTAACTCGATCCAGTTCAATCCGATTTTGTCAGTCATAGAGCCTTCGCCGTAAACAGTGTTTGTGAGTCCCTGCAAAATGAAATAGAATGTAGGATATAACAGGGCGATTCTGAAAATTATCTTTTTTTTAAAAGAAATGTTGGAAAAACATCAAAATCCCATGGATAATAACGGAGATATGGTTGGAAATCGACTTTAATGATTAGCCTATAGGTATGTTCATTTTTGTCCATACGAGGGTTGGGTTAGGTCATCAATAACATGGGTTGGCTATTGTTAGTAATCTAGCCTAACAAAACAACACTTTTCCGGTCGTAGCTTAGTTATTTTTCATCGGATCTTGAAAATTCTTGCATCTTTTTCAGCTCGCTACCGGTTAATTTGAGTACCCACTTGCCCGATTTCGGAGTAAAAATATTTTTTCGGTTTTTCCGTGGCTTTCTGACAATGTCCGCGGAAAAACCTATAATTTTCAGAATCAGGGTGTTATTTCCTACAGTTTGGGGTGGGGGAATTAATTTTCCAAGGTTGCACTGAGAAAGTAAGAATTACCGTACCCAAATTTAAAGCTAACAGCATTTTACCTGTGCTCCAGCCATTTGATCCTCTTTTGTCTAGAGTATGACCTAATTTAGAGTTAACATCATTGAGACTGGCCTCAACACAGTGCAGCTATAAATATTTACAACTCAAACTTTTCAGTGCCCTCCCTGAAACTGTATGTAACTTGCCTATTTAGTCGTTGGAATATGTATTGACCAATTTTTTGAACAGGAATGTTCAATCTACTCTATTGAGGAATTTTTGTCTTTCAAACATGATGATTTTCTGTAAAATTCTAATTGTTAAGTAGGATATAGTTTTTAATGTATGTAACAATGGTTTCATAAACTGTGATATAACAGTCTTTTATAATACCGTACTGTTATTACTGTCAATTTTATTTAAAATGTATTGTCATTTAGTTTTAAGTTGTATCTCACTGCCAATTTTAGCCATAATTATTTTTATATAGGCACTTGCCCAACTTGTTTGCTTGACTACAACAGTATTATTGCCATCATTATCAATACATCTAAAATATTTTTGTATAAAACCAGTATTATTAGTTTATTAGTAGCCTATAGCATGTTCATCCTATTTACACTTGACACTGTACATTGTACTATGAATTGTATATCTCCATTGACCTGGCCTATTGTATGACATGTACTTAATGGCAATAAACTATTTGAATTTGACCTTCTCAGGTTAGTCTCTCAAAGTTGAGATTGGTATTAGGGTTCAGACACGATAGGCTACACAAATCAAAGCTTAATAATAGGCCTACTAATCTGAAATGGCGACCATACGAATGTAGGTAGGTATTTTAAGCCAAGTATGAATGGAGATGAGTGTAGCATGAGTGGCGCGATCTTGTAGTCTTGTTTCTATTTGACTAAGGCTGACATGTTCCTTAGACAGGAATGATAATTAATAGCCCATACAGCCAAAGGCAACTAAGGGGCCTACAGTTTACAGTGGAATCTGAACCACATTTTTGTCTTGTAATTTACAAATTGGTCTATTTATCAGAATAATACCGCAGATAGACGTAGGCCTAGTACTCGACGTTAATACACAGATCATGCCTATAAATATCCACAATTCGTGACCTCCAAGTAGCTGGATTACAGGATGACGCTACGATCCCAGTCATAAAACCTTAAAACAAACAATCAACATGAAAATTCTTGAGTTAAAAGGTTAACCTGGTAGATCCCAGGGGTTAGTTAAATATTAGGCCTACTGGTACACCTAAAAAATCAGGCTCCAAGGGCCCTATTACACTTGGTCACCAGGGGAGTCACCGGTGACGTCACCAGTGACCTGACTAGTTGGTGGGCACTAGTTCTTATGGCGCTTATTACGTTAGGGTCAACAGGAAATGTCACCAGCATTTGGTGACTGACCGGAAACTCTTCCCTGTGACCAGACGACTCACCACTGGTGACCTAGAATTATCCTGGGTATTGAAATAAATTGCACTTTTACATCCAGTCACCACTGTATTCTTTTGCATTACTTGGTGGTCACGGATTGTGGATATTTATAGGCATACACTGTGGATGGGATACTCCCTGGTGTGGATTAACGTCCGCACTAGTGAGTACTACTACTATCCGCAGTACTATCCTGATAATTAGACCAATTCGTATATACCAAGGAAAAAATGTGGTTCGGATTCCACTATAAACTGTAGGTCCCTTAGTTGCCATTAGCTGTTTGGGCTATTAATTAACAGCTGTGTCTAAGAAATGTCGGCCTTAGTCACTAACAAGACTACAAGATCGTGCCACTCATCCTACACTCATCTCCATTCATACTCGGCTTAAAATACCTACATAGTATGGTCGCCATTTCATTAGAAAGTATAAAAGTAAAAGTATTATCAACTTGATTGATTTCTTTCCAAGTAATATCACGTCCACAACTTTTGTCTCCGACAACCATTGCACTAGACTGGGACTCTTTAACACAACCCTCATGTTTTTCCATTTCTTGTTATATTTTTCACCACTACATTTATCTGCACTAGACTGGCTTCCTTTCACTGAATCTTCTTCCTTATTTCCTTTCCCTGCATCACTTCCACAACGTTTATTCACTAGTCATTTATTAAATTGAAGAGGTTAGACACTGATAACAGTGCACGTGGAGCGAGAATGAGATGACAGCGCTGAGTGTGTAGGCCAAAGGCACTGGAGTGAGGGAACTTAGTAAGTAAATTAAGTTTGTCTCGCAGGTTGCAGCGATGTCAGACATAGCTTTCAGCCATATTTTTAGGATTACGATTGGCTAAACAGTTGGGTTTTGTGCATAAAGAATCAAGTGCATGTTTTATTCTTTAAGTTAGCTAATATTTTATTTTTGTAACAGGAGCAGTGGCGTCATTCAAGCCCAACTTCGCCACATTCCTCAAGTTCGCCAAGGTAGAGTTGACCCCACCCAGCCCTGGTGACATCCCTGCCATCAGCCGAGGAATTGGTGAACTCATGAGTGCGGCTAAGAGTGGCAAGTGGAAGCACCTCACTGTCAAGGTCAGTATGACCTTTTAACTGGAATAAAACTAACTGTTATAGTAGATTACAGTTTTCTGTCGAATACACAGTTTTTTTTACCAAGCCAAACACAAAAGACAACTTTGTTGTATAGTTTGTCACAAGAATAAACTAAGAAAGTAAAATTTTAGGCTCCCTCAACTAGGCCTACATTCTTTAACAATTGTACTGTATGCTACTGTACACATATATATAATATTATGTGTCTACTTCAGTATCCCAAAGTCGGTGGTGTACCGCATCATGGTCACCTCTCATAAAAATTTACATGGTAACTATCTTTATATATACGATCTTTAATCGCCTACCACTTGTTTTAGCATTTCCTATTGAATATCATCATAATCTAATAGGTTGGAACTTTTTCAATGTATATAAATAGTTTGTGAATCAGCGTGTTAAGTAATCCAAATCCTGAGGCAGGCCATTTTACCTAATTCCCAGTCAAATTTATCAATTCAAATCGACGAATGAAATACAAGGATGCTTCACTTCCTTTGGTCCCATAATTTAAATAATTTTTAGCACTGCCCAGACTTTTTAATTTTATGTTTTGTTGATTACTGCCAAATTTTTTTATAACCTGTCACGACCCTACATCTTTTGGGGTACCAGTACTTAAACTTAACGTAATTAATTTAAAAGCTATCTACTCAACACCTGTCCTAATTGCACGGACTGTTTCCTACATTTGAAAAATATCTTTATGTATTTTCAAGGTTTAATTTAATGTATTTATTGAAATGGTCCCTATGTTTTAGGAAGCCTGGTTGAACGTTCTGGTCTTTACTGAAGTCACCTGCTGGTTTTGGGTTGGAGAGTGCATTGGCAAGAGGAACATCATTGGATACAAAGTTGAAGTTTGAGCACCACCATCCAGAAATTCGGTCTAATATTTAGTGTCTGTTCTGTAAAACCGCCTCATATTGAGATGATATTTGTTATTGACTACCATTAAAATAAAGTCTTCTGTTAGTCTTTTATGTAAATTATTTTGAAATTCCAATATTTAGCTGTTAAGGCTGTTTGGGGACACGAGAACATTGCACTCGGTGCAACTTGTAGTTGAATAGTAGTTTGCCCAGAAGATGGATAGCTGCTACGCATCCAAAATGTCGGCCTCTAATTTACTCTTTAAATGATGCAGTCATACACCTAGATTTGACATACATTGTGTGTTTTAATTTTTCCCATGCTCTTAAGTTCAAACCCCTCCAATCCCAAAAGCCATTTATTTAGCTACAAGATACTGGGTGGGTAGTGGTTCAATACCCATCTTACGCTGCAGGTCCACTTATTCTAATAGAAATAAAGGATGGGTCTCGAAGTCGAGAACTCTCATCTCCACTAAAAGCCATGTGATAACCAACACTTGGTTTTTTTATACAGGGTGATTGGTACTCAGTGTGACAAAAATATTTTGGTGTAAGTACAAAGTAAATGAAGTGTGATGATGTATATAATATGTTCCAAGTCTAAAAATTAGCCTCCCAAAGAATTATTTTATGTTTTTTAAAAATAACCATGCTTTTAAACTTAATACAGCGATTTCTAAATTACCTGTATATGGATTTGAGTAGATAATGTCATTTTCGTGTTCTACATTAAATTTTGAATAAGAATAATACAAAATGACAGAGGATCAGTTAAAAAAAGTAAAAACTCCATTGTAAATAGATTTAAAGGTAAAAATTAAGATGTTTGATAAAAATCTAAAAAAACAATGGTCTATTGCATTTTTCACACCGAACGTTGCTTGACGTTCTCTTTCAGCATTTCTTGTGTCAGTTGAATTCCTGGATACTCTTCTATGTCTTGCAGGTCTTCTCATACGCTGTCTAGTTACTTCACTTATTATAAAAACGGAAAACAACAAAAAGTTCCTGGATACTCTTCCACGTTTGCAGATCTTCCTCTACCCTGTCTAGTTACTTCACTCATTATAAAAACTGAAAACAAAAAAAAAATAAACAAATACATTTAGTTTTGAAAAACATTATTTCACAACATTGACTTTCGGAATAAATGTAAACATTGCAAATAAAGAAGCAACAGCTGATTAGAATGCAGACGTTTTTCAGTTACCATGCTTTTATTATGGTGGATATTTTACGTTATATCTCGTTTTCTGGTAACTTTATGGGAATTCTACTATTTTTCCCGAGTCCCTGGGGGCAAGGACTTTAATTTAAGACCTCTCCCACTTTTCTGCAACTTACCAGACGTCCACAATTTTCTGGTGAAAATGTTGTCTTACAAAGGCAGAGTATTAAAAAGATATTTCAGGAAAAATAAAAATAAGAAATATTTTAACAAAATTATATATTTGATAAACATTACATTTTTGGCATAAAAAACCTATGACTAAGCATGTATGTATCAAAGTATTTTGTATCTAATATTAACTTGTCTTAGTTTTGGGAATCCAAAACATCAGTGAGTTTACACTGACACAGCTTGGAAAGGTAAAACAGTGGACATAAATATGTAAAAATATATTGCTATAGGGTGTATGTAAAAGTTACTTTTGCAGAAATATTCTAACACCCAAACATTGGACGAAGAAGTAAAGGTAAGTAATTCTGTGTATTTATAAAGCTTATCAACATGAAAATGGCTGCTGTTAGTCCAAACATTCTATGAGCCATTTTTTTTCAATTCAAATGTTACTCAGATTCAAAATATGTAAACGTTACTAATGTGCAATTCCAAGACAAAAATGCCTCCTAAAAATTAATGTTTTTAAGGCAGGTTAAACCATTGACTATTGGGAGTTTAATCAATAGTCAAAGAGGTTAACAGTTTTTTATAATAATAACATCCTACAAGGCTGTAAAAGATCTAGATTTGACATAAAACTATAATACTACATTTTCTTTGTGACCGCACTAATGTGTAATATTTTGAACCTAACAGCACTGAAAAGTAAAAGAAGATACAAATGACACTTTTCAAGAAGAACAAGAGAATATATTTTGATTGTTTTAAATGCTATGAAAGAGGCTTATCAAATTACTCAATCAGGAATAAGCATAACAAAATACTAGGTAACTAACATGTTCGCTACCGATCGCCACATATATGCAACGCTGCGGTCATTGCCACGGACTTAGGTATACATTTTGTATTACACAAAGACCGGGCGTCACTTGGTTGACAGTACACGCAGACCACGGGCCAGTGATGCAGCAAAGTAAAACGCAGTTTTGCCAATCATGACCAAGTAACGCACGTATGCGATAGACATCCCTGTAGAACACTGCAGAGAGTTCAGGGCCTTTAAATAGACCGCTACGAAGACACAAGCTTTTTAATAACATTGGGATACTGACGCAAATCTGCAACGTCAGTCTATTTTAATGTCTACAGGTATAAACCGGCCGTTGCATATTTGCGTCGCTGGTTCATATGAATGACAAATTTAGGACTATTGCGGTAGTGAACATTTTAAAAGGCAGGATCAACGTTTTAAATTTGAGAATAAAATGTATTTTAGGACAAAGATATTGTTGCTGTTACAAACAATATTGGAAATAGTAAATTACATAAGAATGACATTATCTTATAGTTATAATCTATCTATATACACATCACAGACACTGAAATCCCACCTAAAACTGCCTAGTTCTGTAACTAAATAAATTAGTTTCACCGATTATTAAAATGTGTGAAATAAAAATAAATAAAGCTATAGCATATCAATAAAACCTTGGTATCACAAACACTTTGAAACCCCCTATTAAGTTTAGATAGTAAACTTTAAAACTGACAGTTTAAGATTCATAACTGGTTTAATAACCTTAACAATCGTTCAATGTAAATTTAATCTCAGTGTGAATAAAATATAATAATATAGTCATGAGCTTTCCATATTTAAATATAAATGCCTTAACATGTAACTTCAGTATAAAACATTTGGATTTAACAAGATCTTGTATTTTTATGAATGTAATACTGGTCATTAAAAAGAAAACTGGATCAAAATTGTACAACTTCATGCTTCCAGCTAGTTGAACAATGGTTTTCTTTGATTACAGTTTTACGCTATCAAAATTCCTCACTTGTCCCATATGATAACAACACAATGTACATTTTAAAGTTCAACCCTTTGACACAGTTTTCACAAAATGCCGTTAAATGGGTGTTATATAAAGGCCAAATAAATTTCGGAATAGATTTATATTTCATTTCCTTTGAAGATAATTTAGTTATTAACGTTAAATTACACAAGTGTAATATTTACCCCTCTTACAAATTGCTTACCACTTTTAAACATAGGTGTTTCAGCTTTCTGTGGCATAAATTTTGGTTTTTTACTGACTGAGAAAAGGAAACGAGTTAGTTTTACTTTATGACATATCATACGAATTTTTCAAATAATTTGTGTGAAGAGAAATTTTTTTTTGTAGTCTTTAATACCACCAAATATAAATGACCACAGATCAATTTCTGAGTAAAAAATACATACAAAGAAGAAGAGTTGTCAAAAAATTTAGCTTAAATACTTTCAGTTTCGTGGCAATATGTATGAAAGGTTTGAAACTGTATTGAACATCAAAATCGATAAATAAAAATAAAAAAAACTCCAAACTATATAAAGATGTAAGTTTGCAAAAGTGCAAAATTTGAGATTTCTTAAAAACAAAAACAAAAAACTCAAGTGTTATGAATGAACAATTTCTTTACCTTGCTCGGTTTGATTTTAACCATTTGCACTCGGTGGGCCAGTTGTACAGGCTAATTCACACAAGCAAGATGGGATTGTTTCAATTTCAAGAGCTGTATCTGATGCTCACATCGTCCCCTTTATCTGTGTGTCACTTTGGCACCATAATAAGAGCTACACCTACCAATGTTAAATTTGCTTGAGCTGCGGCTGCGCTACAGACTACAACTTGTACAGCTAACCACCCAAACAAGACAACCTACGCTGAAGAGGGTAAAGTACTACAAGACCTCTAGTGGGCTCACCCCCTACTAAAATATCAAATCAAAACATTTAAATAATAGTATTTGCTTTGTAAAATGTTAATCTTAAATTACAGTCTTAGAACAAGGTATACTTCCTTCATACCAGTCTGTGTCAAAGGGTTAAAAACAAGTCTAGAAATAAATAATCAAATAATATACAATAAGGTGAAATATAGTAAATTGCCTAGGATCACAATGTGTTACGAGTCGTAGTCCTGATGTAACAGCTGATACAAGTGAGAAGTTCTGTCTTGAAACAGCTGTTCGGGAGTGTCAAACTCCAGCACAGTACCTTCTCCCATCACAAGCACCCTGGAAATAGAAAATGTTGTTACTTCTTTTCATCTTTTGTCAAGTGGTGTCTAGCACCAGTCGCTGGTGTCTAGAGAAAATTCTATTTGTCGTCTCCTTTCACTCTCCTTTCTTCCTCGCCATCAGGTACTACAGCGCTCTCTTGCTGTAGGAAGACCCTGTGCGCTACAACTGATGTACAACAATGCTATGTGGCCATCGCAGTTTAGGCTCTTCCTTGCTCGTTACAAGTTAAAAGCGCATTGTTATCCATTAAAGCTTGTATCCTCTTTATCTTCTGTACTAAACCCTTTTCGGATTATACAGAGTTTTGTCATACCAAGCAACATACTGACTATGAGGTCTATTAAGCACCTAATGTGGAAGAATTAAAGGTAACAGATTAGTTATCTTAGTAGTAGTAATGAATTTAAACTACACTGAGTAAAATAGATATGACGGACAGTACGCAAGTTGAAACGTAAAGTCCTTTATAATATTGTTATTTTGTTTAATAATTTAACAACTGTCATCAAGACGCCACAGAGAGCGGCAAGGTGTTTTTCATGTGTGGACTGGACTGAAAATTTATAGAATGTAAATGTGCTTTATATTTTTCTTTTTTTATTGAACGTTGTCACATTAACTGGATGCTGTGGCAACGTAATTCCGAGTTTTTATTTTATTTGTACGTTATGTAATTATGGTGGAATAAATCATTATTATTATTTCTTTAACTTAGAAAATTTTATAAAACATATTCCCTTAGTCTTGTTTAGGTAAGGCAGATTTATATTTTGCTCACACCAGAGTAGTACAGGGTGCGGTAAAAGAACCGAACCATTTTCTGCAGCGCACTGTTCAGCGACAGGTCGTCTGAGGGTGGTGGGAGTAGGCTCGTTGGTTATACAATGCCATTTTTTGTAGTCATAGAACAGTGGCAATATGAGCTACGTGCGGTTGTTAAAGAGTCGTTTTTAAAAAGTTATGATTTAGTTATTGCAACTCAGCGGCAGTTCCGTGCTTTTATTCAATTAGGTCGACATAGAGAGGTTCCGTCGTGATTATCTGTATGGATGATTACCAAATTATACAGATTGTTAATCTAACCCATTGGGATGAAAATTAACCTCAAAATTCGTATAACTGAGCGGTCAGACATGTTCAAGGCAGCCGGTTGTTTTCGGGCTGGCCTACGAGGACTGTTTTCCACAGCAGCACGAACTCTATCGAATGTTTGTTGTCTGGCATCCGATCTGACTCTGGAAGGCCTGTCATCTTCCTTTTCAACGCAGAAGTCGTTGTTCTAATGTAAGTAACCCACCGCATTATTGTGTACAGAACGGAACTCCTCCGCTGAGTAGAATGAATGAATTCACTATTTTATAATAACGACTCCGTAACAACCGCACTAGCTCAGGCGACCACTGCTCTATGACTACAAAAAATTGCATTGTGTAGGCTTTCCAACGAGCATACTCCCACCACTCTCGGACGACCTGTCGCTGAACAGTGCGCTGCAGAAAATGGTTCGGTTTTTTTGCCGCACCCTGTATTAGGAAGAAATTATGCTAGGAGTTTTCTATTGGACCAACCTTCAATTACTTTCTCTAGAGGAAAATCTAGAATCACCCTCTCTTCCCTTTAATTGTGTGTTAACCGTCATGTGGAGGGGAAAAGTTTTTTTAATGTAATAGATTTTAGAAACTATATGAAATTTTTTGTTATTTAAAGTTATTTGGGACTAAAATAAAATAAGGAGGTTTTATATTTGTTAAAGGTTTTCATGCATGACTATAAGTGCCCGTTAAACACTCTGCATATACATTTAGTCTTTCTCTTCTGGACCCAAGAAGGGTTTTGTAAGACGGTTCTGTTACCTATCAGAGTCAATGATGGTGCGGACACGGTGAGCAATGGTGATCACTGTGCTCTGGCGGAAGTTGCTGCGTAAAGTCTGAGTTATCAGTTTGTCTGTTTCTTCATCGACATTGGCAGTCGCTTCATCCACACACAGGATCTGAGCAAAACAAAACACCATAACAATGAAGTTTTACAGGCTTAATCAAGTATACTGTTTTATTAAATAAGATGTTTGTAGAATATACATTTATTACTTACAAAATTTTTAATAGCGTTTCATTTTTGTACTAAAGAAATTACAGAAATATTTTTACATCTTGATCTGTCACCTTTTGATAGAGTTAGTCTACATAGTAATGAAATATATTATACAAGTACTGAGTGTGGAACAATGATAAACACAAAACAAGTAGGCCTAATTACAATACGATAATTAATAGTTGTACTAATCGGAAATATTTTCTTCGGCAAAATCAGCAGACAAATTATGAAGACAGAAAAATGTACAGATGATGTCCAAGACTCCAGCTGATTATTTAGGACCCTTGCAATGAAAATACAAAATACTTACTTTAGCTCCTATAGATGATTTATTTCTTTTTTTATGTTTTAAATAATTGTTTTGATGGAGAAAAGATATTTTTGCTCTCTTATAACTATTAAAAAGTGTAAATAATTTCCCCTCAATTCATTTTGCGCCTAGTTTTTATTAGTAGATGCGCCTAGTTTTTATTAGTTGATACAAAAGAGTGTATTCGAAACAACAAACATTGTTTAACCCCAAACATATTTAAGAGGAGGCTAAGATCCCCACTTTGGTTGGATATGCCCAGCATTATTGTATTCCTACAAACACCAGTTTTACATGTGACCTCATCTCTGAAAACATCAGGTATGATGTGGGCCGGGTAAATACCCAGTGGGTAGGTAAATATAAATTGGGTATTTACCCGGGTATTTACCCCAGGCCTGGGTAAATACCCAAAAACTGGGTATTTATAATTTTTATTAAAGTTAGAGAAGATTGAGATGTTTTTTGCAATTATTACCCTGTAAGGATAGTAAAACGATGATAAAATGTGTTAAACAAAATTTCATATGGTCACTACTAGCATTTTACTTCTGTGTATACTCGCCATAAATACCCAGGTCTGAGCATAAAGCATAATCGGCATAAATACCCTGGTCGCACGGTTGCACTGGTCCTGGCTACTTATGATTTTTTAATTTCTATGATAGATAGATGAATTTCAATTTATTTTATTGAAAATGAATAAAAATTATTTTTAAAGTAATAATTATTATTTAGAAAGACAGGAAAATTTAACCTAGTAGTGGCCTATGTGTAAACAACTTAAGAAAATAATTAAAACTCAATCTGTAGGATGGCAGAATTTAATAATATTTTTGTTCTAGATCTTTTGTTGGTATCAATAGTATCAAAATAAAAAAAAACTAATTTCATAAACTTGTGATACAAAACATTTGAATCTATAGGCCCAGTAAAACTTTCAACAATTTCTGGATATTTATAAATTAAAATAATTATGTTTATGTTATTTAATTGGTTATAAATTTATAATACCCCCGCCGCAGCAAACCAGCCGTCTAAGCGAATTTCCATTTGTCCGAATTGATTTTCAATTGATCTATTTAAATAACATTATTAGGTTTAACGAGTACCTAGGTTTGCTGCTACAAGGAAACTAATAATGTAGTGTGTTTTTAGTAAAATATTGATAGCTTACTATAAAATAAATAAATTTGCCAACTTTGATCAAAATATATCCATAAACAAGCAAACTACAACATTTTACAATATTCTCCATAAGAATAACATGGGAATTTTAAATTTACCATTTTTTTAGTTTTCTCCGTAACCAATAACCGTACAAAAACACTTTGATATACTGAATTGTTTGTTTTTTTAAGCTCTTTAAGAAGGTTTAGAGAAAAATTGGGAAATTTTGTGTTTTGAGGGTAAAAAGTGAGAAAACCCCATTTTTACCCCATAAAACCCCCCATAAAACCCTGTTCCCATGGTCCGATCATGCTGGATCGCGAACTCATTCAAGTTTATCCCGCCTTACACCTTCAAACCAAATTTCATCAAAATCGGATAAAAATTACTCAAGTTATCGTGTTCACGGACACATATATATATATATATAAATCTATATATATACCTATATATATATATATATATATATATAAAAATTTGAACGAATGGTGTTTTTGGCCTCTGGGGACATGAAAATGAAAAAGTAAATCGGTCCCGGGCCTAAGTCTTACCATGAGACCTACGGTAATAGCTACTTCCCTATAGGGAAATTCGCTAAAATGATAAAAATTGAAATAGCCACAGCCTTTTTAATAGGCTATTTTTTGTAAGTTAAATTTTAACTGATGTTACTTGATTTAAGACACGAAACCCCATGCTTATTTAGAAAATGTATGTATCATTAAAAAAAAGGTGCTAAATCATTAAATAAAAGGTACTAGCAAAGCTTCAAGCTACTGTAGGCCTAAAAGGTGTTATAGACTATCCTAATTTATCATGTAATGATAATAATAACATATTTAGGGGTATATAATATAAATGAATTTCAATTGATTTCATAAATACCCAAAATACCCGGGTATTTATGGATTTTGGGTATTTACCCGGGTAAATACCCAGGGTATTTACCCCGAGTTTTAAATACCTGGGTATTTTACATCACTAATGATTGAGCTGATGCAAATCCCAAACACAGAAGTGAATTTTAAGCAATTCCATCTTGGGCTGATAAGCCAGACATTGCTGATATTAATCACAATTAATTAATCATGTAGTGATAAGCAGTAGGAGAGTTGCCGTACCTTAGCATTATGCAGCACAGCTCGACACAGACATAACAGCTGTGCTTGTCCTGTGCTCAGCTCCACCGTAGTGTCCAAGTCTCTAATCACTCCCACCAGGTGGCAGCGCTGTATAGCCGACCAGATGTTGCTGTCACTGTCACACAAACATGTGTTATCAATCAGTAAACAGATCAGAGTGCTTCCATAAATGAAGAACTTGCTATGCTATGGGATAAAATTTAAAAAAAATAAGGCAAAAATTGTAACTGTACGTTGTTTATCTTACTAATATTATAAATGTGAAAGTTTAGATGTATGGATGTATGGATGGATGTATGTTTGTGACAAGTGAACGCAAAAAATACTGGTCGGATCGGGCTGAAATTCGGCATGATGATAGCTCATATTCCCGATTAACATATAGGCATATTTTTATCCCAAAAATCCTTCCGGGCTCCGCCCCAGTGGCTCTGGAGTTTCCCATGTTAACCTTATGAGAAATGGAATTAATGAATCTTAACAGCTGTTTCAATTAAACAAGTTGGTTCTGTTCTATGATGTTCAATAGCATTAAAGTTACAAGGATTACCAACAGGGTGCAGCACTATTATTTTTTTACATTTATGACAACAGCTAATTTGCAACCAAAAGGTGAGTGAGCGTAGCGAACGAACTTCAACCTAAAGGCGAGTTAGCGTAGCGAACGAGCTAACCTGAAGGCAAGTGAGCGCAGCGAACGAGCTCCAACCTAAAGGTGAGTGAGCGTAGCGAACGAGCTCCAACCTAAAGGTGAGTGAGCGTAGCGAACGAACTTCAACCAGGACGTGATTGAGCCATGCAAACGAGATCATCTTGAAAATTAAGAAGTTAAACGGGGCAAAGCCCGCGGGTTACAGCTAGTAGGACATATAAAACAATAGTTTCTTATTGAGTGAAAGTATGGAATAATCATGACAGTGAATGGGGGAGAGTACAAATTGGAGGAATAACAGTTTTAAGGATTGTTTATTAGTTGGACAAGAGTAGTTGGTGCAAAGTTGGTCTGAGAGGCTAAAGAATGGAGGTATGAGAAGAGAGTCAAGGATAGTTTTAGAGGATGAAACTGGAGGGAGGTGAGGACATTAAGAAGGTGGTTGGAGAAAGGAGGATAATGTGAAGAGGAGAGTAAAGACTAAAGAGGAGGCAGATGATGTAGGAAGGTGAATCATAAATGGGCAGAAGAAGGCCTGGGACACCATGGAATAACTTAAACAGAATGTACAGTATATGTATGTTAAATTTGTATGCTATCATATCCAGTAAATAGCTTCAAGAGCTCATATGACGAGAAATTTGACACAAAGGTCAAATAGGTACATCTGCATCTGTTTTAAAATACAAAAGAGGTGTTGTAGACTTGTACACAGTCCTGCGACACCCACATCATTCAATGTATTTACTGTTGCCAAGCATTGCTTGTTTCCAACATATTTGTTATAACAGTTATTACAAGAAGTACACTAAAATAAAACTTTAGCATAAATAATGTTCACCTGTATTGCCGGAGAGGATCTATGTTATCCCGGACTGTACCAGGGAAGAGCGTAGGCTCCTGTGGGATAACGGACATTCGGGATCTGCCACAAGGAAAACATAACAAGATACATTGTAATTGTTGCAAATTAAGTTACAAGATTTTAGACAGTAACTATTACTATACTATAAACTTCAAAAATCAAAAGAATGCTGACAGTTTTCTTGTTTAAAACAATAATATTATCATAATGCTGCTATTTTTTTATAAAAGTATCAAGCAAATGGGTACAGAGTTAAACTAGCTTATCAGAGAAGAAATAAGAGTCTAGGGGCTTATATAGCTAATGTGCATTTTCTCTCTGAAAAGTTGTACGTAATGGGTTAAACTATCATTTCATTTCATTTATTCATTTTGACGGCAATCGCCATTTTACAAACCACCATTTACCATTTTAAACATTTATTGTACTCCTACATGGGGTCTTAATTTTTTCAGGTAGGTAAGCTAACACATCCCTATCCCTTATAACAAAATTTTATTTTCTAGTTTTCATGAGTCAGGAAGTAAGTAGCCTTATGAGGTAAAGATCTTTAAATGCGTCTAAGCTAACAAACCATTCTAAAACATTAAAAAAATAAAAATCTCTAAATTTATATTATATTAATATATTAAATTGTCAAATGTATCAGGATTAGTGGTGAAAAATAAAATATGATCAATTCTATTTTAATTTAATCTAACAATAGCCATCAACTCTAAAACACTTATCATAAGTACCTTAACTGCATCAATCCTATGTGAGCGATGTTGACAGAATCGATGGATATTTCACCATCGTGCAGTTCCACTAACCTAAACAGAGCTGCAAACAAGCTGCTCTTACCAGCCCCAGTGCGACCAACCACACCAACGCGCTCTGCCGGGCGAGTGCAGAAACTTACTGACTTGAGGGATGGAAGTAGGTGATCCCTGGAATAGATTTATATTGATTTTTTTCTAGACTATAGCCCAGAACCATTCTTACATATTACTTTAAGCAAGACCTATAGGGTTGCGGCATCATCACATTAATAAAATACATTGATGATTGGCAGGATTTGAACCTGAGACCTCGGGAACCATTCGCTGTACCAACAATGTCCATGAGTTATAGTTACAGCTTGCTCCCCAGAACAGATTTTTTTAGACTACTGTGACGAACGAATACATTACTCAATCTTTCCTCAAGATCTAAGATATTGGACGTGTTGAAATACAATATACTAATATAAAAGAAGAAAGTTTGTTGAGTGTGCAATTGCTATTAAACTCACTGATGATATCAACTTCCACCCAAACCGGACAGTGTTTGTTTAAGATGTGCACTCCCATTGGATAAGTCTTACATTAAGATAAGTCTCACATGAGCTTAAGTGAGATGCAATGACAACCTTTACTACTGTCTTGAAGGGCTAATCTAAGCCTGCCGCTTTAGGGGGAGTTTTCGGGCAACTCGCGAGGTCAGTTCTATTTGTCAAAATGACCTGTTTTTCTCGATATGGCTAAAAAATTTTTAGCCAGCCGCTAACTGATTTTTTGGAATACTTAATATACTCTATTTTCTGTAACCCTCTCAGTAACTGCTTTTCATGTGGCATTTGTGTACTACGTAATTTTCATAAATCTGGCACTGCTAAAGTTCTAGTAATCTAGGTTGAATAAGGAGTGTTTACTGCCCAGAGAAAATAATATCCAATCATTCGCCAATTTTCTAAATCAAAATTAGTCGCAGCTGGAAGTAATGTAAAACATATGAAAGCTTCTTTGTTAGTTTAACTAGTCATGCATTCTACACTCGGACAAACAATCTAGAACTGTGAAAAGTTATTATATATTTCACCAAAAACCTCCACCTACCTGTACTTGAGAGTGACGTTATCAAAGGACACGACCCCCTGACTAAGCCAGAATGGTGGAGGAGCCAGTCGCTCCCGAAAGTCCTCAGTTGTGATCTCTCGGAGATACTGATCCACCCTCTCTACTGACACCATCTCTCTCTCCGTCTCTGTGAAGGCGTTTACCAGTCCGTTGAGAGCTCCAGTCACTGACAGGGCGTAGGAGATAGCCAACCCCACAAGTCCTACATAATATGAACCAATGTTTTGTTTTGGCCTTAGTTATTTTTGGAATTATTTGAGAGAAATTGAAGTTTATTTGGTGTTTTTACCGTGCTGTACCTTATTTAAATATTTATTTAAGTTATAAAACTAACACTACTTTGTTTTGAGTTCATTTTTTACTATGGTAAGTTTTCATTAATAATTAAGGGATTATTTTCAACAATTTCCATAGTTAGTAAAAACAATTAGTAAATAAAAACGTCTCCAGTAATCTATTATACAATTTTTCAAATTAAATTATTTTGTTGGAGTCTTGCCAATCAGGTTGTACCAACATTCCCGGAGGAAGCAACATATATATACACACCAGGGTTAGCAATGCTTAAGTGGTGTTGTAGTGCAGCCAACAGTCCCACACCTGTCACCATGGCAACACCAATAAGCTGTAGTCTCAGAGACAACCACTGAGCTGCTGCCTGACTGGCCAACTGAGCCTTCTGATTGGCTTCTAGTCTGGTGCCGTTGTCCCTCCTGAACCTAGACCATCAGATTCCATTCAACTGTCACACTCTCAATAGCAAGTCAAAAATATTCAAACAACTGATAAAAGTCTCAAAGTTACCTAGGCACAGCTCGAAATGCTCGGATGGTAAGAAGTCCTTGAAGTGTTTCGTTGAAGTGGTTGTACAACGGAGACAGTGTGGTGGAGCTCAGTCTCTTCAGCTCGCGAGATGTTAGACGGTAGTGCCGTTGCAGCCAGTGATAGATCGGCACTAGTGGCACTAGGATGAAGAATAATTCTGGCACACCGTAAAGCATGACGAACATGCTGCCTACAAAGCAGAAAAACACATAAAATGGAAAAAAATTTTAATTTATTTAATACCTAACTTTTTTATAATTATTCTAAAATTTCGGCAAGTATAGGTAGCAAGTCAGTAGAGGACCTTTTAGCAGATTTCACTAAAATGCAAATCAGAGATGTTCTTGTGCCTTGCTAACAGAAAAACATAATAAATTGTAGGGATGGTCAAGTCTCGAAATTTCAGAAAATTTTTGGGAAATTTTAAATTTCGTTACACGAGACGAGATTTATTTTTGGCCGAGACTTTTATCGAGACGAGAAAAAAAAAAAATTAAAAACGCCTGCAGAAAGTCAATGCAATACCCGCAATACAGGAGCGTGTTGTAGTTGCGTTTCCTTTGCGAAGGCGTTCTTATTTAATTAATTCTTTAAATGTAAATATTACTTTAATTATTTTAATAATTTTACTTTAATAACATTTGAGAAGTTTTGTTAAGTGTTAGCAGTGTGAGGAATGTTTTATTACTATAAAAAGTCAAAAAAAGTAACTATTTTATAAAAACTAATATTGCTTTTATTTTATGATTTATTTTATGATTTATTTTATTTTAGGATAAGTTGAACTCTATCCTAACTGATATCACTATGTTTCCTAATGGTAGGCATTTTTAATAAGTTAAGCGTGATTAATAAAAAAAATGTTATGCTGATGTTTTTTAATAAAAGATTGTAAATATTCTTGCCTATTATCATTATTTTTGTATTTAAACAGTCATCTAACAATGTTACAAAATCAGGTAAAAATTTTGGACGTGCATTTCTCGTTGTGTATGAGAAGGGAAATCCCGTCTCGATCTCGTCTCGAAATTTTATGAGATAAAAAATCTCGTCTCGTCTCGTCTCGAACTAAAAATCCAATCTCGTCCATCCCTAATAAATTGATAACTAAACTGTAGACTATTCAATGGTTTAGCTATGGTTATTTGTATAATATTTTCATCTCAACTGGTTAACAACAGATCCAATTTGTTTTTAAACAATGATGCAGTGAACAAAGTAAAACTAAGGATAGATAAAAGGAGTAAACTTTCTAAACTTAGGTGTAACTCACCTATGAACCTAACCATCTGTCAAATTCCACTCAAAGTTAACTACATATTAACAAAATTGGTTCAAAACCTAAGCAAAGTAATTCTAAACTTTACTCCTAGGTTAAAAATAATTTTAGGAATAGTTTTCAATTTTTGTTTAGTTTTTTTAAGTTATACTCAGACAGATAGTATTAGCTTACCTGAGAAAACTAGAGTCCATGTTTCTAGAGAATATGTTTTATTTTATTGTATTTCTATTGACCCATGGACTTTCATTTTTCCAGTTAAGCTAGCTGGACTCAGAGCCGTCTTTATAAAATGCGAGGCCTGGGGCAATACATAATTGCGAGGCCTTGTTTAACCAAGCTCACCGGGGGGTCTGGGGGGTACGGAGTATCCCCCAGCTGAGGGGGGGTCTGGGGGTCCCCCCCCGGGAAATTTTTGTAAAATTATACTTGTAAAGTCGTCATTTTAAGTACTTTGACGTAAAAAAAATTAATAGGCCCTATTTTACACACTGAAAATGGGCGTGAATATTATTGCTAATTACACATATTATTGTTCCAATTCCAAAGTGGATATCATAAATATTGCACACGAAATTCTTTACAATCATTAATAAAAAAAAATTAACACTTCTCCTTTACTGTGGATTGTGAATTGAATTAACACTTTGTAAATTAAACAAAGTGGCGGGGTGACAATAATTAATAGTAAATGCTTATAGGCTATCTTGTTTATTTATTTTTTTGTCAAGTTAGGTTTATTGTGTTTTTGGCAGTTGGTCTGTGAAGTGTGTTTTAAAGTTAAAAAAATATTACATAAATAATTGTCAATGAGATACTTGCAAATTCGTCATTTCTTTTACACTCTGTAAATGGCCGTTAATATCATAGCTAATTGCGCATATATTATTGTTCCAATTCCAAAGTGAATATCATAAATATTGTCCACGAAGTTCTTTACAATAATTAATAAAAAAATGAACACTTCTCTTCACTGTGGATTGTCGTCCCGTCACTTTGTAAATAGTAAATGCTCATAGGCTAACTTGTTTATGTACTTTTTGTCAATATAGGCTAGGTTTATTGTGTTTTCGTCAGTTGGTCTGTAATGGGGGGTTTAAAGGTAAAAAAATATTACCTATAATTGTCAATGAGTTTTTAATAATAAATTAAAAGAGGTAGTATCATTACAGTGTAATTGATTCACAGTATTACTTTTTACTTTAATGACAAATATTGTTATAGGTTTATGTTTATTGCGAAATGCGAGTAGTTTACAGTCAGTCTTATCCACGCTGATTATCCATTCAATCCAGTAAACATCTACATCTGTAAACTAATCTGTAAATAAATTGAACTTAATTAATCATGCAATAGAACTTTAATGGCACCAGTAAGAAGCGTATGACTCACTCACATTCACCGGGGTGGCTCGGTGGCTGCCGCGAGGCTCGGGTTCCGTCATCGCCGCCGAGCTGTCAAACGTTGTTTGATATTCTTTTGTGTTTTAAATGTCGTTCGTAGGTTTGTAATCGATACAACAATTGATATAGGCTAATTCATAATAAATAAGACATATTTTAGGCACATGTATCTGTTTGTCCTTTATTTTTTTATTTTCATTCCAAAACATTAACTTATTTCTAGCGATAGTAAGGCCTCGCCGGGTAGGCCTCGCCGGGCAGGCCTCGCTGCGCGAGGCCTTCTCCGGCGCGAGGCCTGGAGCGGCCGCTCCACTCGCTCCACCCTAAGGACGGCGCTGGCTGGACTCTACTCCTTTAAAAAAAATTCCATTCAGATACTAATAGTAGTAAGTGGGAGTTTGGTTATGTTACTCTTGTATCCGATAAATCAGCCTTATGATCCCAAAGGGTTACAGTTAATATAGAAAAAAGAACAATTATGAAAATTTACAAATAGAGGTGACTAAGTACAAATGCCTATTACAAAAATAAAACAATAACATACCTATTACTCCAAAAAACTGAGCTAACAAGATGTTTGAAATGAACGGAAGAGAATCATCCACCGTGTACATATCTGAAGAGAATCGGTTGAGGATCTGACCAACTGGTAGAATGTCAAAGTTGACAATTTTGGCCTGGAAAAGTATGAAAAACTTAAAATATAAAGAGGTTTTTTAAAGGGATAGAGTTTAGCTTATCTGAAAAATTTTAGTCAGGGAGCTTATAGATAAACAAAAAGGTCACAAAAACAAAGCATAGTGTTCTTTGTATCATGTTTAGGTATCTACAAATCTCTGGACTCTTATCTCTTCAGATGAGGTAGATGAAGTTGATCACTTTCTAAAATCACCTAACTAACCACTTAGCTTTACCTTAAAATATAAACTATAGTTTAAATTTAAATACATCACTCACCCTTATGACTTTGTTGAGCAACACTTTATGTACAGCAGATGCAGCATGGATACCTCCGTAGGCAAACAAGAACGCTCGAAAAAGAGTGAACACAGAGTTGCAGACGGCTATCAACACGTAGACTGTTAGGTAGTAGCGAGTAGACGGGTCAACCCACGGAAGTAGATCTAAAAGTATTGTGTATTTAAAGTTAGCACTGTTGTTAGTAAAAATTACATTAAGGAATAAAGAATGGAAACACAGGTAACTTGCAGAAGAAGAGGTCCAGGCAGTTAGTTGTCAGCACAAAAAAGTATACAGTAGACTCCCTCTTATCCGGACTCCTCGGTAGGTCAGTCTGGATAGTGGGTTTTCCGGTTAAACTGACACACCCAAAAACTCGTTAAAACAGACCGTATAAATGCATACTGTATACATATTTTACTTAAATTTAGGAGAGCATTGTATTTCGACATGTGATCACTGGTCTCAAATCTTTAGCTCGAGAAAAATTGTTTCAGTACCGCCCACTTCTTGTCGATCTAGTCCCGGTTAAACTGATGTGCTGATAAAAATTTTCCGGTTAAAGAGATGTCATTTCCGCTGAGTGTCGTCCAGTTAAAAGGTGTCCGGATAAGAGGGAGTCTACTGTACAACCAACTTGACTTAAAATGTTGCCTCTAAAAGGGAAATTGAAATTATAAAATAGTAGAACTTACAAAAACTGGCACAGTTTTGAAAATTTTCTAAATAGTAAAAAACTATTTTAGTAAATTGCAAATAGAGTTAGGAATGAAGAGATCAGTAGAGGGTTCGTTGGTTACACCTTAAGAGGGAGAATAGAGAAATCAAGACCAAGACTAAGGTGTAAGATAAATGCAAGGAGTGAGAAATTTTTTTTCTAATTCCTAGAAAAATGGAAGGTAGTAGATGGTGATAAAGATGAGAGAAAAAGTAGAACGACCAAGAAGAAGGTGGATTGATAAGTCGAAAGAGATACGGAGAAAAAGGTAAGAGAGGGGGATAATAGAAGATGGAGAATTCCTAATTGACCCTCAGACCAAGGAATAACTAGAACAGAAGAGGATATGTATGTGAGAATGTGGTTAATTGTAAAGGTGTGAAAATAATCAATTAATTTACAGGTACAGAAAACTGTTAGAACTCAGAATAATTACCACTTTTTGTCAGGTCCAAGTTAAATGGTAGGGCAAAGGCTGTTGTGTTTTCACTTGTAACCCAGTAGGCCATCCACCAGTCAGTGCCGTTTCTTGAAACCTAAAAATAGTTTTTACTTCAGATTAAGCAGACGAAATGTTTACTTTCGGAACGAAATCTTTTATAAATAAATACATGTATTGTATTAATTAAGTACAAAAATAATTAAAGAGAGTGTTAAACTAATAACAATAGCAGTTAATGTCCCTAAAATGAGTAATATGATTGTCTTTGGACGTTGAGTGGAATGAAATGAAATGAAATCAACTTTATTCATACTTTGCAAACATGTGCACGAATGGCGTCATTACATTGGATCAATCAAAATCATAATGCTTAATCATAAAAAAGTACAAAAGATATAATCACTATTGAAAAAAGTTCTTATTTTAATATATTATGTAAGAGGAAAAATTCGTTCTTTGAATACAGGGGATTGGTTAAAAAGTACATTTTTAGATTATTTTTAAATTTGTAGTCCTTGTGTAGTCCTTTAGTTTTGTTGGAAGAGCATTGTAACATTTTATACCCATATACATTGTTTTTTTTTTCAAAAAAATCTTAATCTATGTGAAGGTGTTGCATAGTTATTTCTGTTTCTGGTACAATATTGATGAGAATCCCCTACCAGTGAGACATTATTTGAATTTTTGACAGTATATAATATACATTGATAGATATAATAGCTATATACAGTCATTATGCCTAGTTCTTCAAATTTTTCCCTAACAGAATCTTGCCAATCCAAATTTAACATAATGCGTATTGCTCTTTTCTGGAGAATTAAAATTCTGTCTAAATTAGCTTGTGATGTTCCTCCATAAATACTTATACCAAAGGATAAATGTGAGTGAATATGAGCAAAATAAACCAATTTTAGGGATTCAAGTTTACAAAATTTTGATAATCGATAAAGTGCAAATAGGCCTGTTGACATTCGATTTGCCACATGATCAATATGATCATTCCAGCTTAATTTACTGTCTATGTATAATCCTAGAAATTTAGTGTTCTCAACAATTTGTATATCTTCACCGGCTAATTTTAGTGCTGGGTAATCTGAATTGGTATTAGTTTTTAGATTAAAGCGTGTAAAATTAGTTTTGGAAAGATTTAGTAATAGCTGATGATCTGAAAAAAAGTTATTGATGTTCATCAAGTTATCGATGGCAGATTTTTCTATCTCATGAACAGATTTTCCGCTTACAAGAAGATTAGAATCATCGGCATATAAACAGATGGTATTCATTGTTGAATTTGAAATAACATTGGGTAATCCATTGATATATGTAAGAAATAGTAGAGGACCCAAAATAGTCAACAGCAGAGATACAATTTTGTGACGCTTTTTGTTTTATTGAAATGGTTAGAGTGTGCTATCAAACCCATTCTCTCACGTTCAAATAAAGATGTTCAATATAATAAATAGGTTACATACCTTATAAATCCGACAAACAGCTAATTTTAATTGAAGGTCGGCTTGTATCGGCCATTGTCAAAACATCACAGTTGGATGGCGAAATCCTTGTCATTGTTTTCTACTAAAAGTACATACACAAACACATACACACGGATGGGACGAAAACATTGTGAAAACTAATAATACTTTTAATAGGCCTATTACAAAATACACGGGCAGGACGCACGCACACCGTTGTCAAGGTCAGGATGCAGACAGTAAAGAAGTTCAAATGTAACTTATGACCAGCAGCATACAAGTCTGTTTTCTCTTGTTTGGAGTTCGCCAATTCCGCAATATGGGGTGTACGTAAGATTTTTGTTTCATGTTGCAAAACAGTAAACCGTAGTTTTAAAAGTTGTGGTAAAACTTGTCTGAAAGGATTTTCTAACAATTTTTTCACATGACACAGACTTTCTGGGTCTGATCAAACCGAGAGGAAAATTGCTTTCAACAACTGCTTTCATATTTTCTTTCCCCTCAAACCACCTGGATAAGAGAGAATTGGACATAGGCAAATAGCATATAACCCACCTGCATGAGTGTGAGACTGATCAGTATGGCTGCAGTCAGACAGTATCCTACAGCTGCCAGGTAGGTGTTGTACACTCTCCATGCTACGGTACCAGTCTCCCTGCCCTCCTCTCCTTGTAGACTGTCTACCTCTCCCTCTGTAGAGAGGATGGGGGAGGGGGGACGCTCCTCTCTCTGAGTCTCTCCCTCCCCCTCCAGCTGATGACTTGTCACCATCTCCTCATAGTCTGGAAGTACCTCGGCTGGTGGTCCTGCAACATAACAAATATGACAATAGTTTAACATATTTAAAAAATCAAGCTACTGTCCTATGGCAGGGGATCGTTTAGAATCGCATTCAATTAACAAACAATTTGGGGTAAATGTTTAATCAAAGTTTTAGGGTACATCCAATCTTTGATCTTTGGGATATGGCCTGGATGTTGAACTGGTAAAACACTAGTTGATTAATTCAACTGAGTTGAAATTCAGTTGACCTGGATATGGACTGCTGCAACTCATCAGAAATGTTGACAGTAAGATATTTGATGGGACATAAAGCTGTGAACGAAGCCAGTTGGCATTCAGGTTACCTGGCTTATCTACACTAGAGGCATGTAACCTGCCTGTCTACTAACTGGCCTTGTGGCTTTAAAGATCATGACTTAAAACCTCCTGAGTAGTCCACAAAAAAATCAGTAATTGAAATCAGCAGACTCTTTTGATGGTTCAATTCAACTAGGTTAATTTTCATTCTGAAACTAGCAACAGCTTTAACATGGGAAGAGGATCTCGACTTCTATCAACAGTCAAAGCTTAAAGTATGTTGGTTAAAACTCTACCGATGACAAAAATATATTTAAAGTTGTTGAGTTTGTTCCAGGATTATCCCTTTCCCATTCTGTTAAGTCTGAATACCAAAAGAAAATCCTTAAAACCTATTTCCTTGTACCTAGGTTACAACTTCCAGAATGGGATATCTACTTTGAAATGTGATCACACAGATTCAGAATGGAATGTTTACTTAGGATGGGGATGTCTACTTCAATAGTCACAAGTTTCAGGACAAAGTTGCTACAAGTGTTTAAGGACTAACCCATCAACATACCTTGCCGCAGCACAGTGCCCTGCTCTATGCTGACTACAGTGTCTGCCTGTAGCAGATACTGGGTCTGATGAGTGCAGACGACTCTAGTCTTGTCCCTCAGCAAGCCATTGATACAATGCCTCAGCAGGTGTTTGGCGACTCGTGCATCCACTGCGGAGAACACGTCGTCCAACAAATATACATTGCGCTCCTGTAAAACAAGTAAACCCGTTAAAAGATTCCATCTCATTCAAGCTTGGGTGGCTCTGTAGGTTTAGCTCTGTTTTCTTTGGATGCATACAAACAGTGGCTTAGAAATGGTCAGTATATGACATTGATATGCTCACCTGGTAGACAGCTCTAGCCAGCGCCACTCTAGTCCTCTGTCCTCCACTCAGTGTGCTTCCCACCCTCTGCCACAGTGGTCAAGTCACCCGAAGGCAACACCATCAGGTCCTGAGTCAGGGCACAAGCCTCTAGTACTGCCCTGGACACAACACTGATATGTTGCTACTGTGGTAACTATTAGAGGTCGTACGGAACGAGGTGAAGCTTGGAGGGGAATAGTGGGTGTGGCGGGAGAAGTGTCGCTAT